TGCTCGCAGGGCACGGGGAGCACGGGCGCAACGGGCCCCTGGGTGCCTCTGGGGCCCCGAGACGAGACGTGCACCCCGTGACCCCTCACCCCTCGACTTCCTCGTAGCGCTCCTGCTTTCGCATTGGCCGGCGAGGGCGAGGTGGACACCGAGCGACCGATCCTCGCGATGGATCAACATCGATTCGAACCTACCGGTGCCATCAACGCCATGGGTGCCATGGACGCCATGGGCCATGGCATGATGAAACGATCGCCGTGACTCGGCACGTCATGGCGGAGGGCGGCATGGCGTCGGCATGGCGTCGGCATGGCCGCGGCGCGCGGTGCAGGGACCCTCGCCTCGCGCGCCTCGCCGGCCGGCGTGGCCGCGCTCCGCGGCACCGCGCCGCGGCCGCGCCGCTGTGGCCGCGCGTGCGCAGAGCGGGCAGAGCGCGGTGACGTCACGGCCTGCCATTGGTCCGCGGCTCGCTAGCCTCGCGGCAGGGCGCGGGCCCCTCTTCGGCCGCTTCGGCCCCGCGGAAAGCCGCGGCCGGCGCGATGGAGAGGCACGGCGTCGCGAAGGAGTGCGACGGAGACGACCTGACCGCCGCGTACCGCCGCGGGGCCGCTAGCCTCGCAGCGTGCTCGGGCCGTTCGAACGAGCCCGCCATATCGATTGGGCGCGGCGCGCGGCGCTCTCAAACGCGCGGGCTGGAGGGCCAGGGCCAGATCGACGCCGGGTCATGAATGCAGCATGACGCGAAACATGAACCGCGGCACAGTGTCAACCAAGAGGTGCGCTGGGCGACGTGGCGACGTCGTCGACGCCGTGGTCCCGGACCGCGTCCTGTTTGCCTAAAGGCGTGGCGCCACCGGGGATGTGTCCGTGCCTTATCGCGGCGGTCCTAACCTCCAAGCCGGCTGCACGGCACTGCAGGGCAATGCAGGGCAATGCAGGCAGGGCATCGGCTGTCTTTATTCCAGTGTAGCGGACAGGGAAATCGGAAAAAGGCGCAGACTGGACGGGGCCGTCCTGCGCTCTGCCTGCTCTGCCCCAGCGAGTCCGAAGGATCGTTTCTTTGTCTCTCTCGCACCGCTGCGGGACGCCCCGTTGGTGCGACAGAGAGAGAGAGTGAGAGCGACGAAACGGCCGGCGGCTCGCTGGCGGCGCCGGCGCGTCGTGGGCGGCGACCGGAAAAGCGACCCCGCCTTCCCGGAAGCGAACCGGCCGCAGGCAAAGAAAATGAGGAAAACTGTGGAGAATGTGCCCTCCTCCCTTTTGCCTCATCAGCTAAGTTGGCTAAGCTATACCGAGAGTATGTGTACCCTACAGCACTGCTAGCTATTGACCTCGCGGCCACTCCTCCCCTCCCTCTCTCTCTTTTCCAGCTTCCTCCACCCCTTCTCCATCCCTCTCTATCCTACCTACGAAATTCCACCCCATTGTGGGCTCCACGCCTCGTCCTTTGGCGGAGCCGCCATGACACGGTGCGTGCGGCTCTCTCTCTCTATCTTTCTCTCTCTCTGCCTTCCTATCGGCCACCTCTCTTCGATCTACGCTTCCTCGCACCGTCCTCTTCACCTCTCCAGCCGTTCACCCGTCTCCTCTTCCTCCTCCCTCCCTTTGCCTGGGAGCACTTTTGGCGATGCGAGGGGCGAGGGTGGGCGAGGGAGAAGGGCGCCCTCCCCTCCCCTCCCACCCGGCCCCGCCTGAGGGGAGAGAGAGAGAGAGAGAGAGAGAGAGAGAGAGAGGAGGGGGGGGGGGAGAGGGGAGATGGGGGCGGGGCGTGGGGTGCGGGAAGGGCAATCCCAGCATCAGCTCCGAGGGCCGGGAGGGGCAGAAGGCCTCGCGAGGGATGGCCGATGGCGCAAGTTCCAGGAAGGGAGGGGGAGTCGGGGAAGTCAACACCTCCCGCCCAAAACTTCAAGTACCCCGCGGCGCGAAATTGCCACCAACGTAAAATTTAGTCTCCGCGCACTCGCACGCCCCTTGATGATCCCCACCGCCCCGCCCCGCCCGCTCGCTGAAGCCCAGGTGGCACACACGAGGGTTAGCCCAGCACCCCCGCGTCCTGGGGGTAGTCCTGGGTCATCCCCCCCTCCCCTTCCCCACCGGCTGCGTAGCGGCGTAGCTGCGTACGGCCCTCTGTGACAGGGGTTGCCTCCGTCCCAGAACAGCAGCCCCCCGGCCTGGGCCTTGGCACAGCCTTGGCAAGGCCCCCGTCACCCCCTACAGGCCCCTACAGCCCCTACCCCTGCACTGGGAAACCCGCCCAGCCGCCGCAGCCGTGCCCGCGGCCCACGCCCACGCCCCGGCCGGCGGCAGCGCGCGGCGCATCGCCTGCACCGCCACTGGCGGAGAAATTGGCGGTCAAGTATTTGGAATACGCATCTGAGCTGCGTCCAGGCCGCGCGTGGCCATGCTGGGCCATGCCGAGCCGGACCCCGAAATCTGGGTCGCGCAGGGTGTGTGTGTGTGTGAGAGAGAGACGGGCGGGAAATAACTTTGACAGAGTACGTAGGCGTGACACGGGGTTGCATGGGTTGCAGCAGGTAATGCAGAGCGAGACGGTGTCCGGAGCACCCACCCCGCCGACGAGGAGACAATGCACCGCCTCGGAGTCTCGGAGCAGGGCAAGCAGGGCGAGGGCGAAGACCGCGCCCCCCTTCGCGCACCGCGCCGTACCGTACCGAGCACACCGAGAAACGCAACGGCTCCACCTGGAAGGCGACGGCCTCGGCCAGCTCTGGGATTCCCGGTTCCCGCGCGCTGCCGTGCTGCGGTCGGTGCTCCGGGCGGGCTGCCAGGGCAGGGCTGCCCACACCCGAAACTGAAGCTGAAACCGTCGCCGCCATTGACATTGATAGCACGGCATAAGGCGGGCAGGAGGTCGGTTATCAAACGCGGAACCGTCGCCGTCATCGCCGGGCCGGCCTGCCCGACGTCCGCCGTCTGCATGTGCAGAGTGCCGAAGGGGCAGCCGCGACACTCCGACATTGAAAACAATTATTGGCTGTTATCACCCGAGCCGAGCCGAGCCGAGCGCCTTGCCGCCTTGGGCAGCCGGGGCCGAAAAAGGCGGCAAAGCACCCGCTGCTGCCGCGACGCTTTTCAGAGTTATTTTCGCCGGACGCGAAGACAGCCAGCGCATCCTAGGGTGGCCCGGGTGGCCCCTTGACCTACGGGGGCTCCCTGCTGAGCGAACTTATTTCGCGAGTCGTTTTCGTCGCTCAGTCTCTCTCGCACCTGTAGGGGATGCCCAGTGTGCGAGGGAGACTCTCGGAGACTCTCGAAACCAGTCTGCAGGCACCGGGGACCTTCTCTGGCCTCTCGCGCGAGCAGGGGTTGCCTAGGGTTCACGACACGCCCCGGCCGGATACGGATTTCGTAAAACACGAAAAACGCGCGCTGCGGCATTTTTGATGCGTTACAGTCCGCGTTGTGTAACCGGCCCGACGCTGAGGCCAGCGGCCTCGTGTTCACCGGGGACGTGCTGCCGGTGGCTGCCGGGCCTGGGGCGTCCCCTCTCCACCGGCATGCCCTAGAGCCCCACCACGTCGCACCTGCAGCTGCACCGCGAGCACCGCGCCGACATGGTTGGTTGTGCACGCCGCCGCCACCGGTACGCGGTACCTGGGGGTACCCCGCCACTCCACTGCAATTCACTTGCAGTGCAGTGCCGTCCCGCACTTCGGCGCCGCTTGACCCGCGTGTGGGCGTGGGGCCCACACTGTGGGCGCCGACATCCCGAGGGCAAGCCGGGGCGCGCTATAAAGCCCCGGACGGTACTGGCCGACGGCGAGCACGGCCACGCCGAGGACTCGGACCGTCTCCCAGAACGCTCGCCGACAACCGAATTGGAATGTATTGCATTTAGCTGCGAGTAATTCGCCCGCCTGCAGACCAGGCCGCCGTGACGTGTCCACTTATTTATCCGCCTTAAATTTTAAAACGAGCCCGCCCCTCCCCCACGTGTAGTACCCGTACCCGCACCGCGAGTGTGTGACGCGTGACGGTGATGAGCGCCGCCAGTGTCTCCGCTGGCGTGGTGTATCGACGACGGCAGCGCCGAACGCCGGGCCGCGTCCGAGTCGCCGGACGGACACACCTGCCTCGGGCCTCGCCCGGCCTCGCCAGCGCGCCTTGGGACACAGCCCGGCGGACATACCCCGCGCACGAGTACCCTGTCAACGAATTGGATTGAGTTCGGGTTTGGCGTGAAGGCCCAGCCCGGTTATCAGGCCAGGCGCCTGTTTTTCAGGGCCTTATCGCGCCGATTGCGAGCGCGCGCGCGACGTTCACGTTCGGGGTGGCCGTCCTGGCCGTGGAGCCGGCCCGACCGGGGCAACGGGGAACACCGGCACCCGACCCCTCGCGGCCTAACAGTGTAGCCGCGGCAATCCCACGACCCCTGTGCTGTGTCGAAACCCCTTTTGGCAAGTAGCATGTGAGGGATGAGTTGCAAATCCAGACCTACTTCGGCAAGGAAGACAGCTCGGGGCCAAAGACCCTCGGTGAGAATGGCAACACCTCTCATAAAGTAACAATCACGGAAGGTAAACCATTTGGTTTATTTTCCACTTAGCACCTCAAATCTTCAATTAACGAGATCCTCAGGATCATAACGGCTCACAGTCAGTCTTAGCAAAGTACTTCAACCTTGCGTCAGTCAAGGTTCAGCAGAGTCCATACCAGATCGCATTTTTAAGCTGATCAAAGGGGGTAATGTGGCAATTAATCTAAGAATCCCAATGATCAACAAGGACTGACAATTGCAGTTATCAGGGTGCATATGCTGATGCAAGTAGAAGTAATAATAACAATGAAATCTAAACTGCTCTGTAAGTACATAGCAACTCATCCAGCCACACACTGACACTACTGAGCAGAGCAGCAGCACTACAATTATGCTTCCTTTGGATTTGAGTAAGGCCTCTGTGACTGGAGGAGCAAACAGTTTTAGGACGAGCAGTGTGAGACACTGACAAGAATGAGGTGTTGACAATAAAAACAATCAATATTAACTAAATCTAGCCACTTTAGTCACTCCAGGAATTACAGTACGAGCTACAATTTCTCATTCATTTGGTTTAGACATGGTCCACAAGCAATCAAAAAGTGCCAAAAATTTGAATACAACAATATACTTGTGGACTCAGGAAATGCATTAACAATTGGCTGAAATCTTGGAATGAGCAGAGCGTCACATATTTATTGTATAAAATGAAAACGCCAGCCAGTGCTAACATGTGAAGATAAGAAAAAAAAGATAAAACACCAAATTAAAAAAAAGGAAATAAAAGTTGGTCACACAGGTATGAACACACGTGTCTACAGTCGTAACAGATTTGAATCTCACCACCTCCAAAGGAGAGTGAAGATAAAAGAGGATTTCCATTAAAATGTGGACATAAATTATTGCCCCTTTAAGTTCGACATGCATTAAAACTTGTACAATGACTGACTTGATTCAAATTCATTTCATTAAAGGTTGTCCTTTCCAAGTATTTGTACAAATAGTTTCAATTCAAACAAGTTATGCTTGTCTTACAATATGATACAAATAGATAAATACAACCTAAAAATGCACTGCAGATGACCGCAACTGAACTTGTACAAAAATAAAAAAATAACAAATTATTCCTCACCACGTACATGACAGACAGTTAATTCACGTGAGCTATCTAGAATGGTAAACTGCTGCATTGTAGATCTTATAACTTATTTGAGGATTCATTCCAGGGATGGGAATTCACAATTAAAATAAGGAAACCAAAATGAAGTCCACATAATCAGTTTCTACAAGTGGTTTAAATAAAATAATTCATTTGTCAATTTAAATTATTTTAAAATACCTCCCCTTCCCTTCCACGATTGGGCACCATAAAACCTGAAGATAGGAAGTGGATTGGCTGAAGATGTGTAGCGCGACACTCACTCACACATAATCTCACGCATTCACTCTTTCACTCCACACTCCAACATCACAACTGAGTAATAAAATGGGAAGAACAGCGGTGTCTGCAGCCACTCCGTAGCTTCAGGCTTGCTCTGGGGAAGGTAAGTAGCATGTCACTTTTCCAGTCTGAAAAGTCAGTGTCTCTTTTTGATCACACATTACGCTCCTTCATCGTCTTCACCCTCTCCTTCACCTTCACCATCATCTTCCTCCTCTTCCTCTTCTACAGCACAAAAAAGGAAAAGAAAAAAAATTAGCAACTCAGATAAATAAAATTTCAATGAATTTTCACTGACATTGACACCTTACCTTCTGCCTCGTCTAGGTCGTCTTCCTCTCCTTGTAGCTCATCTTCCTCATCCTCCTCTTCTCCTTCTACGTCTTCATCCTCTTCAATTTCCTCCTCGTCATCTCCGTTTTCTTCCTTCTTATGTTTCTTAGGGTCTTCTGTCTTATCCTGCAACAAACAAAGTAATCGACGGTTAGCATTTAGAAATTCACAACAGGCAAACAACTTGTTGCATTTATTCCCCCGCCCCTGCCCCTAAATTACTTAGCCCAGCAGAGCGTGGGAGGGGTAGTGGCAGGGAAGTCATGACGCCCAACACATTCGAAACTTCCGCGGGGCGTCCGCGGGGCGGCCACTGGGTTATCGACAGACTATCGACCCGACATTAGAAGCCATGCCACCGCGGTCACTGCCGCCCTGCCCGGCTTGCCAGGCCGGCGAGGGCTTGACGCCCCGCAGCCCGGCGGGCCGGCTTGCAACCATCAGGACGGATGCAGTCAGGACAGCCCTCCGCGCTTGCCGCTTCGCGCTTGGCTCAGCGAAACCCACCGCGGGGCCCTTCACCGAGGCTAGGTCCTCGACCGCCCCTCCTTCCCCTTCCCCGCGCGGCCCGCGTCTCGAGACCGGTACACCATGCGCCGTGCCGGCAGCTAGCCTCGCCGCCAGGCCCCTTCACCGCGCTGCACAGTGCGGCGTCCCTCTCTCTCGCGCCGCATCGCGCCGCATCGCGCCGCATCGCGTCCCGACGACGCATCGCGCTTCGCCTGCTTGGCCGCATCGTGCAGCGGGCGCGGCATGCGTCACACGGCGCGACGAGCGGCAGCCAAGCGCCCGGCGGCACGGCGACGCGGCCCAGGCGACGCCACCATCCCGCCACGCTTGCAATTGACCGGCCGGCCGGGCGCGGCCCGCGGCTGTGCCGCCAGGACGCCATGCACCCCCGCGAAGACCAAGCTCCGCGAATCTCCGCCAAACATTCCGGACGCCCTCCGCCCCGACCATCATTACCGCGCGGTGGCCGCGGCAGCACACCAAGTGCACCAAGCCAAGCGCCAGCGTCGCCAGCGTAGCGAGACGGGCACGCCAAGCCGGCAACCCGTGGAGCAGCCCGACGGCCCACCGCGGTGCTTGACTCGAGCAGGTAGCCGAGGGCCTAGCGGACGGCCTAGCCGCCCCAACGGCCTAAACCCATTGCGTCACCGCACTGGACAATCGGCACCGCGCCGCCCCCCCGCCAGTGTGGGGCCGCGTCCACGCCGCGTCTCGCTCCATTCATTCCCCCACCCCTGCCAAGGACACCCTGACCGGCACAACCACGAGTACTACCCGCCGCCACGCCGGCCACCCCTGCCCGCCATAGAGGGTGCAAAATCTGCGTCGGAGCGGCGCTCGGCGGAGAAGCGCTCTCCACGGCGTCCGTCTCTCCCACGGGATTCAATGGGAGCGAGCAAGACGCCACGATCGCGGACGCAGCCCATGGCGTCCGAGGCACGCGCGAAGCGCTACGCTCAACGAGCAGGATGCCTCCCAAGCTGGGGCCGGCACGGCACGGCATGGCCACGGCCCCGGCATGGCACGGCCCAGCCAGCGCAAAGGCAAGCTGCTACCGCCGCCGCCTCCACCGCCACAGCGTCGTCGCCGTGCCCTGCCGCCCTGCCCTGTATCTGCGGCCCGGACGACCACCGCCGCAACGCGGACGCGGAGAAGGAGAGGGGGGCGGCAGTGCCGGCCGTGCCGCGGCAGCTGTGGAGGCAGCGCAAGCCTGGGGTGGACAGGCAGGCGAACAAGGGTGGGAGGGGAACGAACGGGGAGAGAGAGAGAGAGAGGAAGACAGAACCGAGGGGGAGGGGAAAGGGGTGTGGAGCCCCAGGGTTGGTGGGGGTGACAACTAGCAGCTCCAGCCAAGGAGAAAAACGCCCAATTTGCAAACTTTCGAAACAAAAACGTTCAAACAGAAAAAAAATTGAAGAAAAATTGAAGCAATGAGTCAGTGTAAATAAATCAAGGAGGAGAAAATAACAAGAAAGTTGTAGCTGGCTGACAAGTCTCAGAAATTTTGAAAATTATGCAATGACAGTAACAATTGTTTAGAGACTAATAAATTCAAATGAAATAAAACTCCGTGATATGCATTTATAAATGGTTTAAATGAAAAGGCAAGCACTGACAGTTCAAAATATTGACTCCTAAGAGACCAGTCCTGCATCCAACCACTCCGCCAAAAAATAATCCATACCCCAAATTAAACCAGACCCACGGCATGAAAATCCCAATCCACAGAAAGTTATAACCTCAAACACGGCCGCTATCTCGCTCGCCCCCTCGCAGGAACGACATGTAGGCCTAGCGCAAGCACAGCGTCAAGTCGAGTTTGACAACTAGCAAGGTCATCCGCGACACCTAACCTTCCTCCCCTCGGACCTGAGGACCGCCCCGCGGGGCTTAAGTCTCCCCGTCGTCCACGGGGACCAAAAACATGTCCATCGGGCCCCAGCGGCGTCAAGTCCGCGGCGTCGGCCCCAGCGCGGGGCGCAGCGGCGCAGCACCCCGGCCTCGCGTTCTGGCGGGACGCCGTCGGCCCGGCAAAACAAGCCTCGGCCGCAGGGCGTCATCGCCACCAAGAAGTGGCAAAACAAGCACGGCGGGGCGGCCGGGACGGCGGCACGCAACCAAAGCACCACCGAGGCGGCCAGGAAGGCCCCCACGGCCCAAAGCCAAGGACGCCCCCTTGGGCCGTCGCCGCAAGCGTCATCTAGAGAAACCCCTTCCCACCGCCATGACTCTACGACCACAATAACCCCACTTTCGCCCAACATCGCCGCCGAGCGGCCGACTGCTTGTCCAGGCACCGCGGAAAAGTAGGCAAAACCCCGTGGAGGACTCGCAGGGACCCAAGGGCCGCGACGCCGACGCGCGGCCGAGAACGCCGGCGCCGGCCGGCTTGGCTTTGCCGGCTTGGCTTTGCCGGCTTCTCACATGGCAGCCGCCAAAAGCCACACAATTATTTCATGACCGATTCAACAGCCTGTCGGCACTGGGTGCCGGCAGGCGCCACGGGAATCACCACAAAGTTAATTCGAATGAGTGGAGGTGCGGACTTGGACATAGCAGACAAGATGCCGAACACGACATCGGGCGCGGAAGACATCAAGCATGAGTCCATCATGTCCCTCTCCAAATTATTTACTTACTTCTGCTGGCCTCTTGGTTCCCTTTACTTCGGCCTTGGCGTCACCCGCGGGCTTGTCATTGTTTTCCGTGACTTTGTCAACGGCGACTTCGGAGTTATTTTCCTTGGTACTCATGTTTTCTGAGGAAACTGCGAGAGAACTTGCACTACAGCACAACTGTTCTGCCTTTGTTCAAAACGAAGATGGCGCGGGCTTGGAGCTCGATGGACCACTGATTGGTGGAATGCGTGATTTCACCAAGCTCCTCAGTGGGCTTCCTACAAAGAGAAAAAATAAAAGTTTTAGCTCATATGAACTTAACAAAATTACAATTAAGACCCAAATCGGGCGCTCGAAAGAGAAAAGTTGATTTACAGTAAACCTGACGAGGGGTTGGAGAGTATCCGGGCCGGAATCGCCTTTGGGTTGGAGGCTAAACCGCGACGATGCGACGCTGGCCGCGTGGACTTTCCCTGCCAGCAGCCAATTCCTTCTGCGAGTTGCGGCCGCAGGGAAAGAAAAACGAGTTTAAATGGGTAAAAACAGGATGTCATTCCGATTTGGGTGTGGAAAAGAACAGACTGATACTTGAAGAGTCCCCGAGGACCAAGCAAAGGCTCGCAGCCTAATTCAACTAAGTTTATTGTAGACTTTTCGGGACGTCGTCTGGTCAAGGCAACCCGACGCACACGTCGTGTCACTCTTGCGCTAATCACTCTCAAACGTTTAGTTTCTTCTTCCGAAATGTGAACAGGAATGAATAAAATGAATGGAAAACTATAGTCTCTAGTTTGAACATAACATTGAATTAAGGAATCCTGAGGAATTCAACGTAACATTTCCAAAGTTGGGCTCCCCTCAAACGAACATCGTCAGAAGGATGCCAGAAACCATAAAAAACAAACAACCTCATCACACATTCTGCAGTAAAAGATGCGCCCGACTCGCAACTGGCACAACACTCATTCGAACTCAATTAATTACTCGTTGGAAGTTGTGCTTCCCTCTAGGTACCCGACCCCAACACTGGGTTGACGAACTGTACAGTCACAGAACGCTACACGGATAGTGATAGTAAACTTTGAGAAAAGGCACAAATCCCGATATAACTGACATCAAAATTAAATTTATGAGTTGTGATTCTCTTTTAACTTACTTTTTATCACTTTACATGGGAAAAAGATCCCTTTTGCATGATTCTCTGGCCACTGCCCGCAAGCTCTCTCATCCATTTAGGAACGAGATGTGCTGCGAGGAGGCGGTGGAAAGTCTTCCATGATCCATTTCCTGGCGTTTCCCACTTCCTTTGAAGAATAAGACTCCAAAATGGTAGGTTATGGAAATATCTCAGTAATCTGAAATCATCGAAATATATTTAGGCCCGTCTATGTTTGAAACGTTGAATTAGAAGCTTAGATATGGTGAAGAGTCCTTTTAAATTTGTATTTTGATTGATTCGTGTCCCTGTCATAGTTGTGCCTATAGTTTCTAGGGTTATTTATCCAACGTGTACCGACTGTGTTTTTAACGTCCTCATTGAACAATTTTATAAACGAATCGCCTTTGAGTCACTGCTGTAGTGGACCATCTTATTCTATTGTTGCTATGTCCCCCGAAATCAGAAATCCGCGCAGTTTTTATATTGGTGTTTTTGTTCGGTACCGGTTAAGGTTATGCGCTTACAGCTTGTTTACGTGCGGTTGTGGCACTTGATCGGCGCGACCGAAGGTCCTATTTTGTCCGAATAACTGACTATTTCTCGTTCAACCTATCTCAAATAGCTTTTCATGTGGTCCCCCAGTTTATAGTGCGCTGCCTATTAAACTATTTTAACTTGAGTGTTCGGCTGTGCTTGCAGGTTAACGTTCCGAAGCAGCGGAAGACCTTCTGCAAAAAATGCAAGAAGCATAAGCTTCACAAGGTTACCCAGTACAAGAAATCAAAGGAAAGGACCGCCGCCCAGGGCAGAAGACGTTATGACCGTAAGCAGCAGGGTTATGGTGGTCAGACCAAGCCCATCTTCAGGAAGAAGGTACGTACACTTTGGCAGTCTCTCCTTATTTTTCATGATATTTAGTGATAGGAGTGTTGAACCTCGTTTTTCTTTCGTTTGTAGGCGAAGACCACAAAGAAGATTGTGTTGAGGATGGAATGCGCTGACTGCAAGTACCGTAAGCAGATTCCCCTTAAGCGCTGCAAGCACTTCGAACTTGGTGGTGACAGGAAGAGGAAGGTAAGTTGTCATTTTGTACTTCATGCACCAGCATATTTGATGTACTTATATAGTAAATTTTCCTGTTTGAAGTGAGTTTTAACTTATGCTAATAACTGTGGCTGTGTTATCCTAATACATCTCAATCTTTTGTTACAGGGCCAGATGATCCAGTTCTAATTTTGTCATCTTTTCCTTTATTAAATAAGTTAAACCCATCTCTGTGTTGTCATTGACCCTTCAATTCATATAGTTGTTTTAAAGCTGGCATTTAAATGTTCAGGATATAGTTTTCAAATAATTGGTTTAAAAAGATAAACACTTCATAGATAATCTATTAATTATAAAAGTATAAATTCTTACTGTTCAAAGCAAATGATTATGAATCTTGATCTTCAGTGATGATCAGTCAGTGCCACTTTCTGACTCACTATTATCCTCAGTGGCAGCAGGTTCTGGTGCTGACACAAGTTGATTTGGATTGCTGTAAATCGAGAACTCTAATAACACCTCAATGCACCATGAGTATGCATAACCATCAGCCAGTTCTTCATACCTCAAAATGTCAGGGTCTAAGCCTTCCGCCTGCATTTTATTTCGAACAGCTGGTTCAGGAACACCAACTTGCACCATTCGTAGGAATCTCTTGTATGTAGGGTGGTCTTTGGCTGCTATCATACCACTGGGCACTTCTGGTGGGCCAGGTGGGACCACCACCTCAACCTAAAAAAAACACCAAATAAAACAACATGGCTTGTTAGACAGCACTTGACAGAAATATGATATTAAAGCAATTGAATACCTCATTACTGATGACAGGAACCTCAGGTGGAATGTTAGGGGTAGAATTTTGTTCTAAAGATGGATCTTGGCTGCTGACAACTTCTGCAGTAACTCCAGTTAAGCTGGGAATTGAAGACAACTGAAATAAAACCATGAGAGCAAGAAAAAATTAACAACTGGCAATGTTATTAATATTTCACTGACTAGAACAGTGGGCATATCTTACTTTGGCCTCTAGTATTCCAAGTGATGCTTCAAGTTTCTGTATTCTAGATTCACACTTTTGAAGTCTCACTTCACATGATCTTGAAAAGTTGTTGAGGAATGACACTGTACTAGTAACAAAGTAGTTAATAAAAGCGAGAGTCCGCTTCTGATGAATAGCTCCCACCTACAAAACCAAATGAAAGTGAGATGAGTCACTGCGATCCCCCATGTACCCAAAGCAGGCCTGAGAGAAGCTTGGATTGATTTTAGCTTAAACAGGTTAACTTAAGGATTATGGAATGAAAGGGGTGATTAAAAGGGACTTCCACAATGCAACACATTATTTAGCTCGACATCATGCTAACGTCACTGCCAGTGAATGATTCAACAGAAAAGTTGCTGCCATGACAAATAGCTCCAAGTGGAAATAAAATATTTTTGACTTTGCATGTCGTAGTGGGACTGGACTATAATCGAACTTGGGCAAATTTTTACTTTAATCTCTTTCAATGTAAGTTTATGTAACCTACGAGCCATAGCAGAAACAAGCATGAATAGAGAGGAAAGACACAATACTTGGGTGTAATCCACTCCTGCCCCGATCACGGGAAGTCCATCCGGATCCATGGCGCAACACCTTCGTTTAAGTCTTCGATTTGAACACACAGAATAGAAACCACAGAAACCGATGGACTTTTCCCTAGACTTGACACTTGCAGGGGGACGGGAACCAAAACACAACAAAGGCAGACAGAAACGCCCTTCACTTGTCGGGATGGGCCTTCTAGAAAGGCGGCCGACACACTCGAAAGTTGGCGCGGAGGCGCGGGCCGCCCGCCTCGCGCATGCGCGCCAAGGATAAAAATCAATGAAGCAGACGACATTTGACTACCTGTCAAAAGCACAAGCAGCGAGCAGCACCGCGACGCCGAGGGATTCCCTTCCCTTCTTCACCATTTGTCCGACAAGTCAGCAAAAATTACGAACGGCAAGGTGTTCCCAGGCCCAGGCACTGCGCGCAGTGTCTGGCGCTTGCAGAGTGCCACCAACATGGTCGCGGACCACTCCTCCACGACGGTGGCGGAGGCCGAGGGCAAAGACAAAGACAAGGACAGCAACATACTATGCTGCTCCGACGCGGCAGAGGCGGCCGAGGTGCACATGACACACAACTGCAAGTCCGTCTTCGACATTGTCAGGACAGGGTAGGTCCTTCTGTTGTGACACATGTTTCATTCCGCATTCAGCTATGTGTCTGTAAAGCTTCAACTCATGTCCAACTTCACAGGGAAGTCTGCGATCTTGAAGTCCTGGTGGAACAGCACGGTTCTGAAATTTTAAGCGCCAGAGATGAATGGGGATACACTCCAGCGCATTGGGCTGCTCTTGACGGGAACCTTCCAGTCATGAGATATCTGGTTGAACGAGGCGCTCCAGTTGACCTATCCTGCTTGGGAACTCAGGGACAGAGACCAATTCACTGGGCATGCCGAAAAGGCCACGCTGCCATTGTGCAAGTTCTTCTGAAGGTGATGTTTCAATCTTTTATTCGCTACAATATCTGTAAGGTTGGTCAAAAAGACCCAATCTTAACTCTGAATTTCCACAGGCTGGCGTGGCAGTGAACGCAGCTGATTTCAAAGGCCTAACACCTCTTATGACTGCTTGTGTGTTTGGGCGGGGAGCAACGGCTGCTTACCTTTTAGGAATGGGTGCCTACCATCACCTCACAGACATAAATGGAGATTCTGCTCTTCATTGGTCTGCTTATAAAGGTAAGCCCTAGACAAGACATTAGATTATTTTTCTTCTGAAAGCTTTTTTCCTTCCTGTTTTTCATTTTAAGTCTTTTACATTTGCAGGTCATCCTGATTTGATTCGTCTCTTAATATATGCTGGAGTTGATTTGCAAAAAGCAGACAATTTTGGATCAACTCCACTCCATCTTGCATGCCTATCAGGAAATGTGAGCTGTGTCAAGATTTTGTGTGAAAAGGTACTTGCAATTCCAAAGAGAATTTTTCCTTAGAAAAAATATCTTAATGAAACCTTGACTCAACCTTTCCACCAGAGTAAAATTGAATTGGAACCTCGTGACAAAAATGGAAAGACTCCGCTCATGCTAGCTAAGAGCCACCAACACAATGACATAGTTCAAGTTCTCACCACTGAAAGAAACCGACGATCTCGCTGGATGCCCCCCATCACAGAAATTTGGTGAGGTCTTCTTTCAAGGAGAGGTATTTTCTGAACTTTCATCAAGTTCAAATAACAAACTATCATGTATATGTTTAGGGGTTTGATGTTTGGAGGAGCTGGACACTCCAAAGGACCTCTTCTCTTCTTCTTGGGATCATTCCTTCTGTGGGAATATCCTATGTACCTATTTAGGGTAAATTTTGGATCTCATTGGACTTCTTTTTCTAGTGCCTGCTAGTTTATTGGTTCCTTTTCTTTTTCACTAGATCTTTAATTGGCAAACTTTTGTATTTTGATTTTCACTTTCACAGCTTTTTAAAAAATAGATCTGTTATTAGATTGATATTTTGTTTTTAGACCTTTAAAGCTGTTCATTTCAGTTCTTTTTTTTTTTTTAAATTCCACTGATAAAATTAATTATGTTATTCACATTTACAGTGTGTTCCAATCACATGGAATTTAATGAGGGGATCTCACTACTGTTTCATCTACTGGAATCTGCTTATGTGGCTTAGCTGGGTGATAGCAAATCGAAGGGACCCTGGATATGTCCCCCAAGACACAGAAGGTTACACACGAGCTATAAAACAGGTCTGACATGGTGCCAGCTTGGTCTATGTCTAAAATTTATCATTTAAAGATCTAAATAGTTTTGAGAATATTTGTTATTTGTTTTCTAGATACCGTATTTTGATAAATACAAGAAGAGACCCATCATCCTCTCAAGGCTATGTCACTCCTGCAGATGCATTAGACCTCTTCGAGCAAAGCACTGCAGATATTGCAACAGATGTGTACAGTACTTCGACCATCACTGTCCATTCATCTACAATTGTGTCGGTTTGCGAAACAGGTATAACATATCAAAACTAAAAGTTCAGTAAAAAGAGCAAACCACAAGTTACAGCAATCACAATACTTTTTCTTTTTTTCAGGATGTGGTTCTTCTTGTTTGTTATGAGCATTGCTATAAACTGTTCCCTGACAGTTTACTTTGCATGTTACTGCATTGCAATAGAAGGCTTCCAGCTCTTGTATGTATTGGGTCTGTTGGAAGCTCTACTGTTCTGTGGACTTGGCTGGATTCTTACATGCACCTCCGTAAGTAACCATGATAATATTCTATTTTCAAGTAATCAAGATAGATAAATAAATTGATTTTGGCTTGATGCTCTTTTACAGGTTTTGCATGCATGCTTCAATTTGACAACAAATGAAATGTTTAACTACAAGCGATATCCATACTTACGGGACAAAAAGGGGCGTTTCCAAAATCCATTTAGCCGAGGGCCTTTTTACAATCTTCTAGAATTCTTTGTATGTACTCCAGAACTCAGATCTGGTGACCATGAGCTCTTAGAAGAAGAAGCAGGACCCTAGCTTTGATAATCAAAATCACCTGCTGCCTTACTCTGTTGATATTTTTAAAAGTCTGCTTTCTTAAAGCACAAATTTTATAATGTTGAAATATTACAAGGGCCTCAGGCAATAGCTGCTTGCTTCTTGACTTTGTATTACTCTCATCTTTGGAAAAAAAAATGTTTTCACCATTTTTATACTAAAAAAATTGACCATAATTGGGAAAACAAGGTATTATATTTTAAGACCACTTTAACAATTTGCTCAAGGATGAATAAAGCTTAGATTTGTTGCATTATTTCATGCAATGAATGTCACCTTTGTATAACTTTTTCTCTATGGTGGGTGTTATTCTTCCAGACATGAAGCCATTTCTAATGTTCTCAAGCCTGTCGTACACCTTTGATATTATATTAACTTTTCCTACATTCAGGCTTCTTGAATAAACAGCATTGAAAATCACATTTTTTCCTTTCTTACTTTTTGCTCCTATTTTTCTCTTACTTTTACACCAAAGTAATATTACTCTGTTTGCAGTTTGAGTCTTAAATATTCTGATATGAAACCAAATTCATTGAATGAAAAAAACAGCTAAAACAAATACAATCACTTAGGATCTCCTACTTCTTTGGTCATCTGTTGAGGTAATCTTCATACAATTTTAGAAGTGAAGGGGGAGTCCGTGGGGTCACAATTGCCAGTGCTTCTTCAAAGTGTTCTTTAGTAACAACTTGGGCGGAAATATCTTCTTGAAGAGCTTTCAAAGCTGCTTCATGACAAACAGCCAGCACCTAAACACCACAAGAAGTAAATGTCAGTGGATAGTCAATGAGACAACAAGGCACATAAAGATTCTAATCAGTCTGACCTCGGCACCAGAATAGCCTTTAGTTTTCTCCACTAAGGTATTCACATCTATTGTAGGGCAGATAGGCATTTTCTTTAGTTGTAGATCGAAGATTTGTTTTCTAGTCTCTGTTTCTGGTAATGGAACATAAACTATCCGGTCCAGCCGTCCAGGGCGCAACAGTGCCTGGAATCAACAAATCCATTTGTCATCAAAGCTTGTTCAAAAAAAAAAATTGAGTGAATTTTACAAACTTTTATTTGAATGATTTATTAAACATACCTTGTCGATTCGGTCAGGCCTGTTGGTGGCTGCAACTATAATGACGTTTGCAAGAGCTGTGACACCATCCATCTCTGTCAGAAGCTGTGCCAACACTCTCTCTTGCACGTTACTTCCACCCCCACCTCCTGCACTTCCCCTCTCTCCACCAAGCGCATCCAACTCATCAAAGAAAATAATGGCAGGAGCGACTTGACGAGCTCTACGGAAAACTTCCCTGACTGCACGCTCTGATTCACCAACCCACTTGCTGAATAACTCAGGACCCTAGGAAAATTACAAACAGTAGCCAATTCAAATTGGAACTTGAAAAAAAAGAAGGTTTTAACAAAAAGACAACAAATTTAGTTCTTACCTTGATTGACAAAAAGTTCAGTTTACTCTCAGTGGCAAGAGCCTTTGCAATCATCGTTTTTGAGCAGCCCGGTGGACCAAACATCAAAACACCCCGAGGAGGCTTGATTCCTAGTCGCTCAAATGCTTCAGGATGTGACAGTGGCCACTCTACTGCTTGTTTCAGCTGAAGTTTTAATTCTTCCTGGCCACCAATATCTGACCAGAACACCTGAAACAACAGGTGGCAAAAAAGTTAAAATAATTCTAAAAGAAAACGAAAATTTTAAGATTATCTAAATAAAATTTAACTTACGTTAGGTACATCTATCAGGACTTCTCGCATGGCACTGGGATTTATCCTTGTCAGAGCCCACTGCATATTCTCCAATGTAATGCAAACATTCTCTTCTTCAAAGGAGCTCTTAAGTGCATTGGTTCCTGCTTGTGACACAAGGGATGCTAAGTCAGCTCCAACAAATCCATGAGCAGCCTGGGCCACAGATAGTAGTTCGGGCTCTGTCAATGAATGAGGAACAGGCTTCAAGAGTTTCCGCAAAATTTCTAGACGAGCATCTGGAGTGGGGACTGGGACTTCTATCTCACGGTCAAGCCTGAAACAAAGAAGATGCAAAATAGAGAAAATCAAGAAGAAAATGCAGTACACGATTAAAATTACATAAATGAATTACCTTCCAGGTCTTCTTAAAGATGGCTCTAGTGAATCAGGCCTGCTGGTTGTAGCTATGATGAAGACACACTTGTCTCCTGAGCTTAGCCCATCTAAGAGAGTGCATAAGGTAGTAATGACTCGTCTCTCCACCTCTGAACCACCAGAACTGTGTGCTTTCTTTGAACACAATGAGTCTATTTCGTCTAAAATTATAACAGAGGGCCCTGAAGAGGTTGCTTTGGAGAAGAAGGAACGTAGCCTAGCATCAGTCTCACCAAGAACTTTGCTGAAAAGTTCAGAGCCCATTAAACTGTAGACTGGAACTTTAGAATCCTGGGCAAGAGCATTTGCCAACAAAGATTTCCCTGTGCCTGGTGGGCCGAACAGTAAGACACCTTTGGTAACTCGAAGCTTCTGTTTCCAAGAATTGGATGGCCTAAGAGCAAGGGACATAATTTCTTTAACTTCATCAATTACATGCTGTAAACCTCCAACGGATGAAATTTGATCATATTGCAAAGCAGCTACTTTTCCTGATACCTTGCTTTCATTCCTGAGAATCCATTTAGTGGAATGAACTCCTTGGAAAATGTTCTGAGAGGAACATGACTCTGGAAGAGGTGACTCAAATATACTGTCAACAGTAGTTGAAAGCTCTTCTCTACTCTCTTCAGCAGAACTCCCTACATAAGAATCCTCTAGCATATTTCGAAAAGATTTCCTAACAGGGGTTCTTTCAGATGACGAATCAGTAAAAAGGATGTTACGCGTCAGTTTCCGCATCGGAGTTTGCTCTGAGGAGGAAACAGTACGGAAGTCAGGTGTTACCTGACCAGACTGTTCTCTTAATGGGGTTGAACAAGATGCAGAGTTTCCACTTTGAAGATCAATGAATGTCATATTTTGAAGGTTTGTAGTGATTTCTTCTAAGGGACTAGGACAATCACTTGAAACAAATGGCACAATGGCTTTTACAGAAAATCTAAGTTTGCGTCCATAATAAGGTACTTGGAGCCTATCTCCAACTTGCACATACTTCCCACAGTACTTCTTTTTCAGTAATAGAAGGATATCATTCATTTTTTGACCCTCAAAGCATTCGCTATTCAGTAAATGCACTCCAATCATTTGAGCTGGAGGCACAGGGGATGAAATCTTCCTAACAGTAACAGGTGCATTCTGTGTATCAGTAGACAACTCTAAACCTAGAAAAAGGTAAAAAAAAATGTCAACAAAATTTAAGATGTAAAATAACTGAGGAGAAAAGATAACAGAGTTATAAGGGTAATACAATCAGCTCACCCTCTTTTGACATAAGAACAGAGGTGACAGATTTATCAGATATGGGCCACACAGCTTTCACCAAACGGATGCGGGGTTCTCCTAATGCCTCCACTAGGACATGTTCGCCAACAGTGAACCCACAGAACTGGAGAGATGGAGACGACACGCACACAATAGTGTCCTGCTCCTCTGGTGGGAGGCTGGGAAGCATTTCTGTTCAGAGATCAGAGATAAGAGATTCACAACAAAATTGATTAACAGGCAAGAGAAACCAAATGTCCTTTAAAAACTGAGCCATACCTGGTGAAGCTTCACCCAGCCAGCTGTGCAAAACTTTCTTTTTGACAAAGCCATGGGACCAGTTTCCTTCCGATGGAGGGCACGACCCATCCTGGTGCAGGGGAAGATCTTTGTGTGACAGGACAACGCTGCATTTTTCACATCGGTGCCACACTGGAGTCGATTTGGCACGAGTCTTGGGCGGCATCCTGCGGACGGAATGGCGGACTTTGAAAAGCAATGGAAAATGAAGCACAACAACAAAGCGACTCGAGAGGTTAGGGGCATCAGCAGAAGGAAACTATTTGGTGTTTAAACCAAGTGTCATGCGAAAAGAATAGGACGGGTCGATTTTCAAAAATTTGAGGCACACAGAGATACACTTACTGTAACGCGTGAGGTCAAAACACTACAATAGACAGTCCAAAATAAACACCTCTTCAGGACCACGCATGCTGCGGCCTCGCAATGTTTACGGTAGGGAACAAAGGACGATCGCGAGCAATGGCGGCAACCTTCGCAGCACAAAAGTCATGATAAGCGCGCGACGATTCAACAAATCGAAATAGCTAAGCTACCCGTGAGCAGTCTGGTAAATATTCTCCAACAAGCAGTCTGTCTTCTCCAAAATCATTAGTTTATTCATAAACAAGTCTTTATCTTCGACAGCGGAAAATCAGGTTGGCTAAAACGGAACGTACACTGCCAAAAAAGAGGCGGGAGCAAAGGAAAACGACTGGGAAAACGGCCTTAAAATACCGACTTTTGGAACCAAACAACATTCCTCGAGCTGGTAACCGCGTGCAATTAATTTCAGATCGGATTTCGAGATGGCGCGATCCTTCTACCATGACAGGCATGGAAGGGGTAGGAAGGGATAGGGAGGGAAGGGGGAGGGGGGAGGGGAGGACGGAGGGAAGGCGAAGGCGCCCCTTCCTCCGCTTCCCGCGGTAATCCCTTTCCGGCCCCATCCTTCGCCGCGCCTTTGCTCTCTGTCGCTCTCTCTCCCTCTCCCTCCTCGTCCTGCCCGTCTCGCCTCCAAATTCGTCCTCTCGTCCTCTTCCCACGGCCTCCCCTTCTCTCTCGCCCTCTCTCTTTCGCTCGATGCTTCGATCGCGTCGCGGTTGCGGCGGTGGCGGCCGCGTGGCCCCTCCCCGCCCCGCCCTTCCCTGTCCGTCCACCCCTGCAGCACCCCACCCCACCCTCCCCACGCCGCCCCCGCGCTGCACCCCGCCCCGCTCACCCCGCCCTGCCGCCCTCCGCGACGCACCAGCGAGGGCGCGGCACGGGGCACGGCGCGGGGCAGCGCAGCCGTGCGATTCCGAAAAGCCGTTTCGTCGCTCTGCCTCTGTCGCACCCCTACGGAGCACCCCGCGAGAGCGACAGAGAAGAGAGACGGAAAGCGCCAGTCCGCTCCGCATCGCGTCCGCGGGGCGCGTCTCCCCTCTCTGCCGGCGTCGCGACGCCCCGGCCGCGCCCGAGAGTGCGAGAGAGACGGCGGCGGCGCCTGCTCCGGGGGCGGCGTCCCTGGTCGTCCCGCGGGAGGGGTGAGGCGGGGCGTGCTGCGGGGCTGGCGCTGCTGCCCCTGGACGGGGCTGGCGGGGCTGGCGGGGCTGGCGGGGCTGGCGGGGCTGGCGGGGCCCGCGCCGCGCCTCCGACCCGACCACCACGCCGCGCCGCAGTCGCCCTCACCTCTCTCTCGGAGTCGCGCGTAGTCCGTACACAGCGTGCAGGCGTCGGCCTCTCGGCCCGCGAGTCCTCGTCTGCTGGCCCGCGTGCACCCCTCGCCGCGCCGCCGCGCCCCCGGCGTCTCGAGCGCCCCCTGCCGGCCGCGCGCCGCCCCGCGCCCTCGACGCCGAGCCCCCGGCGCCGGAGCCCCCCGTCGACCCCGGGTAATTACCACCAGCAGCGAGTGATGAAGTGTCAATAAGTAGGTGGACTCCCCGTGCCGACCGTGCCGGCCGTGCCCTCGCCCCGACCCGGCTCAACACGCCGTGGAGCTCGGACAGCACAGTGCCACGCCGGCGTCTTGACAGCTCACTTCGGAGCTGGCAAACTGTTGCTCTTCTAACGCCAGGCGCAAGTGCAGCAAAGTCCTTCCCTTCCGCGTGTCGTGTGCTGCATCCGGCGAACGAGGAGTCGTTTCGTCGCTCTGGCTTTCTCGCAACCCTTTACGGGACGCCCCGTCAGTGCGACAGCGACAGAGTGATGACCAAGTGACTCTTCAGTGGGGCTGCTGGCGGGGCTCTAACATGACCACCCTGACGTGACTCTCAATTCGGAAGCGACTCTCATTCAATTTCTTGTGTCTCGCAGGACTGTGCTCCGCGTTGCCCGTGACCACAGCGACAGCGTCCTTGGCGTCCTTGGCGTGCTGAGGATGCACGCCGGCGGCCCCCCGCCGCGACCCGCCGAGAGGACTGTCATCAGATACAGGACGTCTCCGCAGTCGCGCTCCAGTGTTTGAACTTTCCCGCCAACCCCCGCGATAGCAGTGAACAGTGCTGCGGACACGTGTGGTGTTGTTGAAGGACTCGGCGTTGTTGTTGTGATAGTGCGAGCGGTTCCGGAAGACGCCAACGAGGAATTCCCCCTGTGACAGGTGAGTCGAGCGATTCGGAGGAGCGTTTCGTCGCTCTGTCTCTCTCGCACCGCTACGGGACGGCCCATGAGCGCGCGAGGGACAGAGATCTGCGTTTCCTGCTGCGTGTCCGGATAAACGCCGTTTCCGTTCAAATTGGGCGGGGGTGACTCACAGCCACGCTGAACCGGCATGTCGCTCTGTCTCTCTCGCACCCTCACACCTTACGGGACCTCCCCAGGAATGCGAGAGAGACAGAGTGACGATGCTCTGTTGGGAATCGGTCTCCTTCCTCTGCGAGTGCCTGCGAGGCAGTGAAAGTACACGCGTTCCCAAATAGAACAAGGCGCCCCTCCCCTCCCCCTCCCCTTCGGGACCTTCGGGGAGTCGGGCTGCATGCAGGCCGTGCAGGCCGGCCGGTCGGTCGGCCGGAAGCCGGGGCATTCGAACGCAGGGGAAGGGCAAACTTTTTTGGCAAGGCGGTGACGGCCGCCAAGAAGGCGAAGCAAGGCGATGACTCGTGACTCATTCGCGTCCACGGGGGCGGTCGAAGCTCCTAGTCGGTGGTTCAACTCGCGTCGTTTTACGTTCCCCACCTTCGCTTTCCTTCGCTGCCACGGCCGCGATGCGGACCACGCGGACCACATCCGATAACATTGTGCCAACCGGCGAACGCGCGACAGTGTAGGACTCGCTCGGAGTACCGCCTTGCGTGGCGAAACTGGCGCAGCCTGGCGTACTGCGACCCGCGAGTCCGGACTCGGCATTTCGACGACATTCCGGGGCCCTTCGTGCTTTCATGGCTTTCACGGTCACGAACCCCACACCCCCGATTTCATGGAGACCCGCCAGTGTGGCCGCCAAATTTCCCACTAATATGCACCCAGGGTTTGGCAACCTCAGGCAATAGGTTTCGCTATCGAGGAGTTGCCTCGTAGGCACGCTGAGGTTGGCAACCCTCTCGACACCGGAGCATGGTGGCGATTTTTGGCACCGGGATCGCCTACCCGCCAGGCAAGGCAATCAGTGCGGTGGGTGGCCGTGGGTCCGGCCGGAGTGGAGAGCTCTGGCTCCACCGCCGCACTGCCATGGCACTGCAGCTGGAATCAAATCGCGTGGGCTTAGCTCCGGAATTGGGTGTGCGTACATCCGCGCGTGATTGGGTGTGGGAGAGAGGGCGTGTCGCATAACGACAGATCGTCACACGGACACACACGTGCGGGCGTGGGCGTGTGCTGTCACGCAGGCCCTGCCCGGCCCTGCCCTAACCGGCGAGAACCGCCTCATGCCGTTTGCACCCTGTGGGCGTGCCGTGGCGTGCCGCGCCCTGCCTTCGGCCACCCCGTCCCTTCCTCTCCCTTCGTGACGGCAGTACGGCGATAGCGAGCGGCGTGGTCGGCGTGGTCGGCGCGGTGGTGTTGGAGGCCCGGACGCCCCGGATCCAATGGCAGTGGCGTGGCGCCCCGCACCGCCCCGCCCCGCCCCGCACCGCGACCTGCCCGCCGGCCTTGACTCTGGACGCTCTTGACCACGGCCGCGCCGCCGGGCCATCGAGCATCGAGTCTCGGGTTCAATTACCCGCGCTTCCTGCCCTTTTCGCGGAATGGAGGCGCGCGTAGAGCACGCACTTGTGTGCCGTTTGTGGGATCGGCAGGGAGACGGACGGACGGACGGGCCGCGTGCGGGGGCGGGGGGCCCGGCACGGCATGAATGGAATGAAGGGCCAACCCTGGCCAACCACGCACAAGCCTATCCCGATTGCTCAGACGTCAGGGCGCACGCCCTCTCCCTTTCGCCCTCTCTCTCTCGCCCCTTCTTCCTCATCTCCCTCTCCCTCCCTCTCTCTTCCCCCTTCCCTCATCCTTTATCCTTCCGTCTGGCGACGTCTGGCGACCGCGGTCTGCCGCAGGGGTGGTGGGGCGTGCGGGACAAGAGCAGCAGCAACAACAACAACAACAACAACAACAAAAGGCGGTGGGCAACCTGCCGCCAAACCTCAACCTGCGCCCGCCTGGCGCCTTCACGCTGCCAACACGAAAACAACAACAACAGCAACAAACGAACAGCTGGGCGCATCCTGCCGCACCTTCCGCCAACACAGGACACAGAAACAACAACAATTCCTCGACAGTGAACGCGTCATATCAAGCAACAACAACAACAAACCAACCGGACATTTCCCAATCAAAAGCACAGCACAACCGCATAATGACGCGATGGTGCCGGAATGGTGCGGGGCTGGTTTTTCTGTAATGAAAGTGGACGGTGTGTCCTGACTAAACGGAAGCCCGTCGGCATGGGACACACTGCGAAAGCAAGCAAGCAAGTAAACAGCCCTCCCCCCCCTTTTCCGGTCCGCCGAGACACGTCCCGTCCGCGCGCCCCGCCGCCCCAAAGGAGGCCCAGATTGTCCCAGTAAGCCTTTATCATCCCAGTCTTAGATTTTCCCGGTCGCAAAATTAATATAGTTCGGACATTTCGTTAAGCCCCACCCGGGGAGGGGATGTGCACTATGTGGACTTGACTTTTTATCATCGAACGGGCTGTGGGGCATACAGTGGGATGGGTGATTGAAATACCGTTCTTTCCGCTCTCATGGGGCGGGCGTCGGGCGTCCCGTGGGAGTGCGAGAGAGACGGCCTCCTGCCGCGGCCTGCCGACGCTAACGCGGCGCGTGTTCTGTTTCAGGGTTGCAGGTTGCCGCAGACTGCAAGCGTCGCCTTCCTAGAAGGACAAGTCCTGCGGAGTCCGTGACAGTCCGTCGCCATGGTCAGCAAGGCCGAGAACCGCAACGGCCACGAGCTGGCCCCGCTGAACGCGCGCGGCGGCGGCATCGCCGGCCCCATGAGCCCCGTGAGCCCCGTGGTGGGCGTGGGCTCGGCGGCGCAGGCCGACCCCTCGGGGGTGACCATCGTGGTGACCCACGCGCCGCCCGTGCACCGCGGCTCCATCATCTCCAGGGCGTCCGCCGGGCCGGAGCGCGCCGCCTGGTCCAACAAGATGCAGTTCTTCCTGTCCATCATCGGCTACTCCGTGGGCCTGGGCAACATCTGGCGGTTCCCGTACCTCTGCCAGCAGCACGGCGGCGGTGAGTGTTGCGGTGTTACGTCGTTTGTGGACGGATGCGTCCGTCGACCAAATTGGTCGCGATAACGCAATCCAGGTATCTAGGGGCCCGGCCCGGCCGGTCCGGCCCCATTTGACGGCGTGTGGGTGTCCAGCGGCCTGACTGGCTGCCGCCACCGAGGCACCACCCGGTTCAATCCGGGGAACGCCAGAACGCCCATTGTGACGTCGGGTGTGGTCGTTATCAATCCGCGGAATGAGCACGTGCCAACAACAACAATAGACCGAAAACAGGGTGGCCACTCAATTCCAAAAATGAAATTCCCGTTTTTTTCCCGGTATTTCCCGGTCAAAATTAAGGCTTTTCTAGGTTATTTTAGTGGTTCAAAGGCGCTTTTTCAGGGCGCGGCACACTGAAAAACCAAACGTGGTCCAGACCGCACCACTGGTGTGGTCAGATGGATGCCATTTTGACCACATCAGTTGGTGTGGTCTAGACCACGTTTGACGACGTATGGTGCGGTCTAGACCACGTTTGGCCACGTTTGGTGTGGTCTAGACCACACCAAACGCACCAAACGTGGTCTAGACCACACCAGCCGGTGTGGTCAAAATGGCATCCATTTGACCACACCAGTTGGTGCGGTCTAGACCACGTTTGGTTTTTCAGTGCAGCGCCTCGGGAAGGCTTTGACCGCTGATAGTTTGGGAGTAGTGGTCTTGCAAAAATGGTCAAACAGTGAATAAATTTCAGAAAATCACCGTTTTTGCTGACTTTGAGTGGTCACTGCATCCAATTTAGTTGCGGTCAAAGGCCTCCCTCGACGCCTTACTATTCTAAAGACCCTACTCTTTCATGGCCCGCCTCGGGAAGGCTTTGACCGCTGATAGTTTGGGAGCAGTGGTCTTGCAAAAATGGTCAAACAGTGAATGAATTTCAGAAAATCACCGATTTTGCTGACTTTGAGCGGTCACTGCATCCAATTTAGTTGCGGTCAAAGGCCTCCCTCGACGCCTTACTATTCTAAAGACCCTACTCTTTCATGGCCCGCCTCGGGAAGGCTTTGACCGCTGATAGTTTGGGAGCAGTGGTCTTGCAAAAATGGTCAAACAGTGAATGAATTTCAGAAAATCACCGATTTTGCTGACTTTGAGCGGTCACTGCATCCAATTTAGTTGCGGTCAAAGGCCTCCCTCGACGCCTTACTATTATAAAGACCCTACTCTTTCATGGCCCGCCTCGGGAAGGCTTTGACCGCTGATAGTTTGGGAGCAGTGGTCTCGCAAAAATGGTCAAAAAGTGATTGAATCCCCGAAAGTATGATTGTCATTTCATTGGATGATGTTGATTGTTTCACTGATTACCAGCTAGACGTGCAATGATTATCTTGAGTTGAGTACCCCTTGCTGCGGCGCCGACGACTACGACTGAACCTTCAGAAGAAATTGACCTACAGGCAGCGCAGGCCTTTTTCGCCTTTTTCCCGGTTTCAATATGAAATTCCCGGTTTTTTCCCGGTTTTTCAAGGAGATTTCATTTTCCCGGGTTTTTCCCGGTTTTCCCGGTTTTCCCGGTCGGTGGCCACCCTGCGAAAATAGCGAAACTACAGACAACAGGTGTGGAACCAGAGCAGTGGCGGTTAGTTGGTCCAAGCGGCCGATTCGGGAGCTTGTGTTCGGGAAGCCGCGAAGCGCATTCAATCGCTTCGGCACTCTACTTGTTCCGAAGAGTCGTCGCCCCGTCTCTGTTGCACTCACGGGGCGTGGCAGGCGTGGCAGGCGTGGCGCAGGGGTGCGAGAGAGACAGAGCGACGAAGCGACGCCGGCGGCGGCGGGGAGGCCGTACAGGTGTCGCGGTGACTCCGCCGTGTTCCGCCTTGTCCGAGCAGACCGCCGCGGGTCGATTCGATTAGGTCGATTTGCCGCCAAAACCGAGAGCTCGCGCCTCTCGCGTCACGCCAAACACTTTGGCGGTGAATTTACGGCGGGCTGAGCTAGAGGCTAGGGCAGCGAGGGCAGCGAGGGCGAAGCGCGGGGCGGCCTGAATGAACACTTTGTTACGCCGCCTGACCCTGGCCTCGCGCAAGCCCCGGCCGCGACTTTTGGAACGCGTCCAAATGGTCCAAATACCGGTGCGGAGCGCGGAGCAGGCGAGGAGCACCAGTCTCGTGGCGCCCACGAAAGGTGATGCCAAAACCTGCGCGATTTTATTTTAAACACAAATCGGGACATTTCAAACAAAAACCTCCTTTTTTTCGACAAAATGTTGATTTGCGCTTCCGTGCCAAAGAAAATGACTTCCTGAAATAAAAAGGTTTTGGAAAGATGCCGTGAGAGGACAGAGTGTCACGCTCAGCGCGCTCGGTCGAGCCTCGCAGCATCGACGATGATGTCAATGGGTAATTGGAGCTCGCGTTGAAACTAGTTTGGCCGCACCTCGGCGCGGCCTTTTTCTATTTTTACGGCGCGGCAACGGCTAAGCCGCCTGCACCGTTCCGATCGAGGAGAACGCGCAGAGGTGGAACTTTTTTAATCAAACTTACGCCTGCAATTTCATGGCACGAATAATGGCTGGATGAAAGCGATCCAGAATCCAGGCGGTTGGAGATCGGCTTTCGACGCGTCCGGACGAACCCCGCGCAAGTTAACCCGACCGGAAGTTACCTCGCGACGCGCGCCGGTCAAATGGGCCGCCGATTCACCCTTGTTTTGTTTCCGGTGACGTCACTGCCAGAGGACACACACTTTTGGCTCGCAATATTCTCTGTCCTTTTCGCACTAATCGCGCGCCGACGCGTCACGCCGCGAATATAACTCGATGACTGTCTGGGCGTCGCTCCGTCCCTCCATGGTCCCTCTCGCGCTCACGGGGCGCGCCGCACAGCGCCGCAGGGGTGCGAGAGAGACCTTCGCGCCGAGCTGGGCCAGGTTCGTTTTCGCCAACAAAACGTGTTTCGTGGCAGTGTGCCGCACGCGTTCCTCGTCGCTACCCCTTTCAAGCTCCCAGCCCGCGACCCTTTCGGGGGAAAGCGTTTTTAATGGGGAAGGCGAGGCGAGTTCTGAAGCCACGCTGCTGTACACTGCAAAAAGTTGACCCTTCGAGGTCAGTAATATGGTCATCATCTTGCAATTAATTTTTTTTTTTTTGGTGGCTAAGGTTTTTATGTGTTTAAACGCACCTGAAGCCGGGCGTCGACCCCGACGGCCCGACACTGCCAGTCAACAACAAAAACAACGACGACGACGACGAACAAACTAGGCAAAATTGCGCGGGTACTTGCGAAGCACCAGCATTCCTAGAACAGGTCCCCGCCCTGCTGGCCAATCCCGAACAGTGCTTTTCTTCGTCGCTCTGTCTCTCCCGCACTCATCAAGGCGTTCCGACGGGGCGACAAGACCGGACAAGACGGCGACGAAACACTAATCTCAGATTCGCAATTCGCGCCGCGACCCGCTCGCAAAACACCGTGCTGAATAATAGGAGTTAATTTTGCTAACGGGCGTCGCGGGGATTTCTCTTCTACCCCCTCGAGAGGGGGGAGGGGAGGGGGGTTATGTATTCATTCATCGGGAGGAAAGTGCTTTTGCGTGAGGCGCAGGTCCAAAGGGTGGGGGTGAGTACATGAGGGGATGGCGAATTCAGGAGGCGGAGGGGGTGGGGGTACGACAGGGAATCGGACACGGCGCGGCGGAGCTGAGGGGGAGGGGGAGTCGACCTGGAACGGTGTGCGAGGCCGGCGCGGCCAGGCCATGCGCGTGGAGCCAAGGTCAACAGACTCCCAGAGAACCCCAAACATGGCGGGACAGGGACTCACCGAGGGGGTGGGGGCGGGGACGTGGGGGTCGGGGGCAAATGTCGAAACCCCTCCCGGCTCCCTCGGGAACAGGCCGATGATGACTGGGGACAAGCGGGACGAGCGGCGAGGCACGCGCTGCGGTGGCGATGCGGCCAGAGAGCGAACACTGTTCCCGGAACGCGTCCTGCTGACTGTCGCCTCTCTCTCTGTCTCTCTTGCACTCCAACGCTGTGCGGAATCAGTCTGCTGAGCCGGTGGGCTCATGCCTCGTCGCTCTGTCTCTCTCGCTCCTCATGGGCGTGAGAGAGCACGTGGCTGCGGTCTGTGTGTCCAGGACGTCCAGGACTCTGTGGCCCCGTCCGTTTGATCGCGTCTTTCAGCCGCCACCGACCGGCTGGGCTAAAATCAATACGCGACTCAGACTCCTCGGTGAAAGGAGCAGGGAGAGAGAGAAAGGCGGACAGACAGAAAAACATTGGGACAAATAGACGGTGAGACGGATGAGTGCGACAAAGACAGCGACACGCTCCATTCACACGCCGCGACCTCGCCCGCCAGGCCCGCCTCCCTCCCTGGTACTCCCTGGTACCCGCGCAAGGGGCGAGCGAGTGAGAGTGAGAGAGACAGAGTGAGGAGGGTCGTCTTGGCGCTGGCCGTGGGCGCGCTCCGCAAGCTCCGCACCGCGGGGGCGTTGTTTGTTGTCGGCAAGCCCCGGCAAGCCCCGGCCAGGCAGGACAGCCCCACGGTCGGGCTGTCATTGCGCCTCAGGGCCCCTCAGGGCACCTCGGCCGTCAAAGCGTCGAACTTGACTTTGTCCCGAGGCGGGGGCGCGGCTCGCCACGGCCCGGCGCACCTACACGTGTATTGACCGGCCGAACTTGGTTTCCGGGAAGCCGGCCGGAGCTAGGGCCCCGTGCAGGTAGGCAACCCGTGCGCAGCGCTGCGCTTGCGTTGCCTATCTCTGAGGCCGCAGGCGCGCCAGCCGCTCCAGTCAGCCCCGCCTGGCCCCGCCGCCGCGGCAGACCGAGCCGGAGAGTCTCTCTCGCACTCATGGGGCGTCCCGTGTGGGTGTGAGAGAGAAGAGCGACGAAAACGACCCTCGGAATCAGTCTGCTGGTCCTGTTGTTGTGGCGGGCTCCGGAGGGAGGAAGCTGCAGAGAGATGCGAAAAGCTGGCGAAGGGAGGGGAGGGTCAGGGTGAGGGGATGGGTCCGTGACGTCACTGATGGCGGGGGTGAAGAGATGCATGGCGGGGGGTTGAGAGTGGCTGGTGTGGGCGGCGCGGCGGGGGCGGCGCGGCGGGGGCGGCTCCTTCCCCTCCCCCTCCCCCCTCTCTCTCCCTGCCGCGTGGGTGTCCGACTACACAATGTTGTGGGGCTTTTAGGAGCAGCGCTCCGAATTAAGTCTCTCTCAGTCATTGTCAATTCATTTGTCCAGGGGGTGGCTTCGAGTGGCGCGTCCTTCCCCCCTCGAGGACGTCCGTGACTGAGACCGCACCGCGCCGCGTGACGGGGGGAAGTCCAGCCGGCGCGAAGTGACGGCCGCGTCCCCAAATAGACGCTTCCTTCGCCACGCCGCGGCGCGCCGCCCCTCCTCGACCCAATTTGGTCGATCGGGGTCGCCTTAAAATCACCCCCTCCCTATGACAGCACTTGGTAAACGGACAGAATAATGAAAAGAATTATGGGGAGTTGAACTTTGGTCCTTGGGGTTGAGGGATGGACGCCTCTACGCGCTCGGCTAGTGTCGCCCCGTTTCCGCGAGGAGACGGAAACAGTTCCGGGGTCGATACCACGAGGTTCGAAGCCAGAGCCGCGCCGCCACCGAGTCGATACTGTTTCTCTATGCATCGGGGCTCAACTTTCACGAATCACTGACGCGGTAAACACGGGGCTTGGCCGGCCTGGCGTCCCGGTCCGGTCGTCGTACAGTGTAGGGGCGTCACGTGCCCGCGGCCACCGCGGCGAGGTCGTGACGTCACGTGACCCGAAGTTACCTGCTCGTTGCTAATCAAGCAGGCCGAGCCGATGACGTACTGACGTACTGGAGGGGAGCAGTCTTCTCCAGCAGTACACGGGACGGGGCCGAATCAATGCGAAAGCCGAGCCCAGGGCCTCGCTGAAAGCCGCGCTGAAAGCCCGGCGCTGAAAGCCCTTTCACGGACGGTCAGGAAGCGCTGACAGAGCGCTGCAGTGAGGCCGGACCGGCTGGCAAAACCTTTTCATAGAGAATCATGAGAGGAGCGCGCGGATACTCTGGGCAACCGCTGGACAAACTGGAGAAACCACGAAAACCACTGGAACCGCTGGGATCGGGGCTGTGCGGCCTTGCAGCTCCGACTCATGAAATATGGACTGTGAGTGCTCTTCGCGCGGGGCCGCCTGGGCCTGGGGCCGCACATCCCCGACCGGCCCACAGTGGGCCAGAAGACCGGTGGAAGCGGCCAAAGAGTCTAGACGCGTTTTGAGCTCCAGAGTCGCTCGACTCGAACCAAACGTGTGACCCCACCAATGGAATGCTCTCCGAACGAGGAATCCATTGGTGGGATCACACGTTCGGTTCGAGTCCCATTTAGCGACTCTGGAGCTCAAAACACGTCTAGAGTTTTGGCCGCCTCTACCGGTCTTCTGGCCCACCGTGCGGCCTGGCTCGCGGGACCGACTCGTCCTGGAAGTACGACTCCGGCGGAAAATACAACCTTCGGGAACACGTCGCGGGAAGACCGAGTCCCTCTGAGTGGACCGCGGTGGACGGGGCTTAGCACGGGGATCACGGGGTAGAAGCCACACACGTGCTGCACTGCTGCACCACGCAGCGGCAGCTCAACGACCACCACAGCGTGGACGCGCAGGCTCGCGCAGGCTGAACGGAACACGCTTCGTCGCTCTGTCTCTCTCGCACACCCCTGCGACACGGACGCAGTGACGTCTCTCGGAGACAGCCCGCAGCTTGCACGGTGCACAGATGAGGTGTCCGGTTTCTGCATGCGGCAGGCTGGGCAGGCCTGCGGGAAGTCGCTCGCCTAAATGAGTTGTTCGCTTAGGAAACGTGATGACGGCCGAATGCCGCCCAAGGCCGACGACGACGGAATGATGATAACTGAGGCCTTTGTTGTTGTTTTTGAGCTTGGGGTGTAATCCCCGGCAGCCATTGTCTTCCTGGCAGCGTCGAAATCAGGGCAGAGGGCCGCACCAGCAACCACCAGCCGGACAAAGCCTGAGCCCTGGCCGAACACACAGACCACGCGTAAGCCGCGCGCGCTGGAGGACGAAGCACGAGCCGGAAGGTCGCGGGTTCGACTCCCGTGCCTGTCGTCGTCGTAGCGTCCCTGCTCTGTCGGGCGGGACAGCGATTTGTTTTTGCTCCAATGGCTGTTACCGATGTTCGTCCTTGTGGAGGAGTGCCCGGGAAAGGAAAGGTACCTCACAAAGTTGCCGTGTGAATTGCTGCTCCGGGTGACGGCTGGGGGCGGGGAAAGTTTGGGGTGGGGGCAGTCTGGGGGTGGGGCGGTAGTTACGCCTCCCTGGCCTACCTCCACCTCCACCGCTGGCCTTGGGATTGAACTTGGAGAGCCCCCTCCCCCTCCGGCTAGGACTACCCTACGCCCCCACTCCCCAGAATGATTGTCTTTTACCCTCGCAAATCTCAGGCGGTAGGAGAAAGATTATCCCGAGTTGATCTCGTAAAGTTGATCCCGTCGCGGATTAGCAGCTGCCTTGTCCTTGTCCTGCCGAGTTTGGCCCAGCCAGCTGCAGCTGCCCCGAGCCGCCCCCACTCCAGTGTCGAGGCGGGCCTGTCGGCCTCCCTCGGCCAATTACTCTCGCACGCTTGAGAGACGCCCATGAGTGCGAGAGAGACAGAGAGAGGCGGAGGGCGAGAATATCGTCAATACGTCCATTGAGTACGGGCTGACTGGCCCGAACTTTCCACCGTCAAAATGAGTCCGTAAAATCGACTGAGGTTGAGCGGAAGGAATGGGTGAAGTGGAGCACTGCGAAAAAAAAGGATCGCCTCGCCGTCGCTAGCGGGAGCTCCGTTCGTGTTGGCCGAGTCCTTACGGCAACTATGCAACCGGCATCTCACAAACGCACGCCCTATGGAAAAACGGAAGGAATGCGGCGAACGACACACGCGAGCCTTGCCGACCATTCTAACGGCTTCCTTGTGGGGGGCCGCGAGAAAATCCACCGAATTCGTGTGTGTCTGTGAGTTTGTTTTCGGGCAGCAGCGTGTCCCCTCAAGGGCAGCCCGAAGGGCCGGGCCGCGCTGGCGAAGGGACAGACCGGCCAGCCAAAAACCTGAGCCGTGCCCGGTAAACAGCCTCCTGAGTGTTGATCTTGAGGGGCTGGCCGGGCTGGCCGCGCAGCTGACGCGGCTGACGTAAGCGCGCATGCCGCCCATTCAATCATGTTCGCCGTGTCAACTCCGACTGAGGCGCGCTGAGGCGCCATGCTGCCGACACGTCTGACATGTCAGTGGCGTTCTGTGGCGTGTCAGCAGCACACAGGGCCACTCGCTCAGGTGAAGCCGCGGGTGATTTACAACCAGCGAGGAACCGACAGGCAAAGCCACGGAACTTTTTGGCGGGAGTTTCAAACTGAGAGTCTTGCTGCTCCTTTCCTTCCATCTCCCTCGGCAGCCGCGAGCATTCCGGCAAAGTCGTCGCCGTTCTGTCTCTCTCACACCATTGCGGACCGCCCCACGAGTGCGAGAGAGACAGGCGGCAGGCCGGCAGGGGCATTCGGGTGACCTTCCTTTGATGGCGCCAAAACGATATCCCCTCCCTCTATTTTCGGCGGGCCGCGCTGCCGCCCTGGTGCGCCAGCCGAAACGTGTGCGATGGCATCGGAAAGGGCTGGGCCCGGTGAGGCAGGACTTTGACGTGGGAGAGGGGCACTGCAAGTTTAGATTCAGCCGAGGAGACGAGGAGACGCTCGGCAGCGCACAGTGGGCCAGAAGACGGGGTGGAGGCGGCCAAAACTCCAGACGCGTTTTGAGCTCCAGAGTCGCTAAATGGGATGGGACTCGAACCGAACGTGCGACCCCACCAATGGATTGCTCCTAACGAGGAATCCATTGGCGGGGTCACACGTTCGGTTCGAGTCCCATTTAGCGACTCAAAACTCAAAAAACTCAAAACGCGTCTCTAGAGTTTTGTCCGCCTCCAGCGCCGATGACGATGACCGGTCTTCTGGCCCACTGTGCAACGGAGCAACTCACTCCCCCGTGGTCCGACAGCAGCAACGGAACGGTCCCTGCCCAGCCAGAATTAGATGTTCGAATCGACGTCGTTTCGAACACCTAGTTCCGGTTGGGTGCTTCCCCACCCAAGTGCACTGCAGCGCGGAGACGAGAGAGCGGGCTGCAACAAGAAAATCCTTTCCGATCACTTGGAGGGGCGCAGGCACCCCCACTGCTGCCATGTGTGCGGGCTGTCACACAAGTTTTGTCCCACTTTTCAACTCGCCCCCAGCCGATGCAATCAGTGAACCCGCCTCTGTTACACACTGAAGTAGGGCATCGTCTCTGCGGCTTTCTTTGCAGGTGCGTTCCTGCTGCCGTTCGCCGTCATGCTGGTCCTGGAGGGCATCCCCCTGTTCCTCATCGAGCTGGGCATCGGCCAGAAGATGCGGCTCGGCTCCATGGGCGTCTGGAACACCATCCACCCCTGGCTGGGCGGCATCGGCCTGGCCTCGTGCGTTGTCACCTTCTTCGTCGCGCTCTACTACAACGTCATCATCACCTGGGTCTTCTTCTACCTCTTCAACTCGCTCAGGGTAAGTCGCCGCTCCGTCTGTCTCGCAGCCCTACGGGACGGCTAAGAGTGCGATAGAGACAGAGCGACTGCGGGGAAGTTGAAGGTTGGTCTGGTTGTCCCGCAGAGCCCGCTGCCGTGGGCCACCTGTCCGCAAGTGAACGGCACTGCGGTGCCCGAGTGCCTGGGGTCGTCCGAGACGGCCTACTTCTGGTACCGCACCACGCTGGACGCGTCCACGTCCATGGAGGACAGCGGCGGCCTCAAGTGGTGGGTGGTGCTGTGCCTGCTGCTGGCCTGGGTCGTCGTCTTCTTCATCACCATGAAGGGCATCCAGTCGTCCGGCAAGGTGGTGTACTTCACGTCCATGTTCCCCTACATCGTGCTCACCATCTTCCTCATCCGCGGCCTCACGCTGCCGGGCGCGAGCGCCGGCCTCATCCACCTGTACACGCCCAAGGTGAGACGAGGACGAGACCCGGGTTCAAATCCCCGTCGCTTCATTTCCGACAACTCAACGTTCACTGTTTTGCAGTTGGAGAAACTACTGAACCCGGACGTGTGGCGCGAGGCGGCCACGCAGGTCTTCTACTCGTTCGGCCTGGCGTTCGGCTCCCTCATCGCCTTCGGCTCCTACAACCCGCCCAAGAACAACGTGGTCCGCGACGTGATCCTGGTGTCGGTGTGCAACGCCTTCACCGCCATCTACGCCTCGCTCGTCGTCTTCGCCATCCTGGGCTTCAAGGCGCACCTCAACGTGGAGCGCTGCCTCGAGGTGTACGTGTCAATTCACAGGCGAAAGTGGAAGAAAATAGTTTCATTTTTCAAAACTTTTTTATTTTACAATTTTTTCAATTTTTAGACTTTTTAGTTAAAACTTTTAGTCTTTATAGTTTAAATTTTTAGAGAGAAGTGTTTTTAGTAGTTTAGTAGTGCTGCGGTTCTGACGACGTACTCTCTCTTGCAGCAACAAGCCCCTGGCGTACAGCGTGCAGCTGCTGCCGACGCCCAACGCCACCAACGAGGCGTACTTCGCCATGCTGGAGACGACCACCAAGAACTACACCGCGCTGGGCCTCAAGCAGTGCTCCATGAAGGACGAGCTGGACAAGGCGGCCGAGGGCACGGGGCTGGCCTTCATCGTGTTCGCGCAGGCCATCGTGGAGCTGCCCATCGCGCCCTTCTGGTCCGTCATCTTCTTCCTCATGCTGCTGGCGCTGGGCATCGGCTCGCAGATCGGCATCCTGGAGGGCATGCTGTGCACCATCTTCGACATCGACCTGCTCAAGCGGATCCGCAAGGAGTACATCACGGGTGAGGCTCCCGCCGGCTCCCCCGCCCTCGTTTCGAGTTGGGCCTTCCCCGGGACCGCACGGCGCGGCGCGCTTGGCGGCTTGGCGGTACCGCCCCAGCCGGCCCTGCCCTGCGTTTAGTTGTTGTTGAGAGTGCTCAGTGGTTGTTGTTGTTGCTCGCAGCCGGCGTGTGCCTCGTCTGCTTCTTGGTGGGGCTGCTCTTCTGCACCGGCGCTGGCGAGTACTGGCTGCAGCTGTTCGACTCCTTCGCCGGGACGGTGGGCCTCGTCATCATCGCCCTGCTCGAGATGGTGGCCGTCATCTACGTGTATGGCCACGAGAGGTACGGGAAGGCCACGTCACCTCGCTTTTCCGTTTCATTTGACTTCGGCTGTGATGTGCGCGTTTCGTTTCCAGATTCACGCAAGACATCGAAGACATGACGGGCTACAGGCCTGGCTGGTACTGGCAAATAACATGGCGGTTCCTAGCACCCCTCATCATGACAGCTATTTTAGTTTCATCCGTGCTGTACATGATCATTAATACCCCGCAATATTCAGCGTGGGATCCAGTAAAAGTAAATACCCTTTCAAACAGTCAACATTGGAAGCGATTTATGATCTTTAGAGGGTGCATTCTGAAACATTTCTGTCCTCCCAGGGAGAGGTGGTGAAAATGGATTACCCAGGATGGGTGCTCGTCATCGCAATAACAATGATAGTTGTTGGTATTTTACCCATACCAGCAGTCTTCCTTTTGCGACGATTCCAATGTCTCAGATTTGACATTAACATCAGCCAAGGAGCTATTCGTAGAATAGATACAACTGTTTCCACAAAGGAAATGATGGGAGATCAAGATGTAAGTATTTTTTATCTTTTTTTAAAGGAAGAAAAAACACTTTCAATGTTGTTTGTTCACTAATGTTCCTGATGTGAATATTGCTTTCCCCAATACATTGTGTTTCTGGCCTTCTTACACAAGTGTGATGCATCAACTCTACTAAAAACGTGTGATATTTTGAGCACAGTGTGTCTTGCTTTGCACTGTGTTATATATCAGATTTGTTAGAGTAAGCTATTACAGTGAATGGGGATCAGGCTCTTAAGCACAGCAGTAAAATATCTACACCAAATACATTCCTCATGAAAAATTTAATTGGGGCACTTGTTTTCAGAGCAGTGTATTCCCTGATTAACAACAGTGAATGCTGGTAATATTTAGACTTTTTAGGCAGTAGGAGAAATTTATTTGTCTGAAAATTCATTTTCCAGTCTTGTAGATGTAGCAATCGGGTGTTTTAAAGCCAGGAATTCTCAGATATGCAGGGAATGAATACCCATATAGCATCAAACTTAGTTCTCTCTAGATTAGATTCCTGATACTGACACTTTGATGGTGTGTGAATGTAACTAAAATGTAGACACTGGGAGTCAGGTGAGTGAGGCCTCTCTTGTGCTGCACTGTATCAATGCATGCCACACACTCTACCCTCATGGTCAATAAACCAGAAACAAATTTGCACCAATAACCAAACTTGGCACCTTGCAAAACGTTACAACGAAAATGTTCTGATTGAAAGCGCTATGCATGCCTTATGCATAAATAAATATCTATTGAAAACAGCAGATCTAGGATAGGAAATGAACATATATGAACATGAACCATGAACAAAAGTCTGATCCAATGATGCCTTTTTGTAGGTGCCCAAGGGGTTTAAAAGACATTTTTATGTAAGTAAGAATAGTAGATTGGGTTTAATATGTTTACTGCTGTTTCCTTTCCCTAGTTACCCTTCCCTCAACATTCCTTCACTCAAACCGTCCAAACCAAGCATTTCTCCTCAACCACTTAGTAGAAAACTAGCTAATGCACAGTCACGAGTCATCTATGGCATCATTTCATGGATTTTACTTCATCATATTTCTTTTTACAGTCCTGCTACATTCACACCATTTTGAGAAAAATACCAGCTTATTTACAGTGTTTCCTGAAAGTCATCATCATCTTTAGCTGTTCACAATGTATTGCATCAAAAAGCGGCACACACAACATCATGTCCTTGCTTGGTCTCTTGCATATTGAAGCATTCATTCTGTGTGTTTTCCTGCATTTCAAATCCCTTCCTTGCATGTTTTCTATTTATTCTGCCTTAAAAGTGAGATAAATTTTTATTTGGATATTCAGCAATTGGAGTGTGTTTTCTTCCCTTGAGACTCAGCGCTATTTAAGACTTTAAGGATCCAAGACCATGTCTCTGACATCTGATATATTCAAGTTAATTCTTGTCCTTAAAAACTGTTTTTTAACAGGAAAAAGAATTCAAAATTTGAAAGGGATTTCAAAACACACTTGTTTACAGACGCTGAGCTACTTTTCACACTTTAGCAGAATAAATCTGAGTGTACCATTCTAATTGTTTGCTTTAATTCATACTATAGAAAATGTTGCTCACAATATTTTGTTGTACAGTTATAGGTTGGGCCCTAGCAAGATGGCCGCTGATGGGGTGTTGGTGGTGCTGGTGGCTAGATTCTTCCTAACAATACTAACCACTGCTTAAAAGACTAACTAATCCGTGAGTTTGTACATCCATTTGTAGAATGCATGAGTGAGATCATTTCTGTGTAGTAAGCAATTGCTTTCCACATCATAGGCATTTTCATGACTTACCAAGGCTTTTACTTTCATGTTTCTCTATGTAGACTTTATGTACAAAGCAGATTTGTCTACAGAAAATTACTGCGTGAACTGCACATAGCTAAATACGTAATATCGCTACACCTCAGGCACCTGTAGTTCTATAGTTTTGACAAAGTGTTGCAATGAAAAGCTACTTGCAAAATGTTATCTAAACTACAGATCATTGAAGTGTTTCAAATACAACTAGTTTGCAGTTTGACATGTACAAAGCGTTTTTGCATGCTTATCTTCTTTGATTCAGCACTTCTAGATTGTCATCACATTCCTGTCTGGATGATTTGGGAGCCATTGAGTGAATAAAAAGTAGCACAAAATATCTCTGGACTATAACTCTTAAACACTAGTCCAGACATTACCTGAAATAAGCATGGCTCCTGCTTTGATAAGCATAGCATAAAGAAAGTTACCATTTTTTCTCAGTAGTATACACTGTGTTTACAGAAACAGTGTAACAACATTGTTCAGATACTGATGTTGAAAACTCATCTGTTGCAGGTTGATGAGTACCACGACGACTTCCCAGACACAGATGACAATGATGATGACGAAGACGACGATGACATGCCACCTAGCACCACCAACAATAGAAGATTGGCGCCACTTCCCTTCAGCCCCAAGAAGAAAGCTTTCAAAATGGAAGTAATAGACTTCTGAAAAAAAAAGAAGAGAAAATTAAGAAAAAAATTGCAATGTTTGCCAAAGAGTGAATTCACAAGTTCAAATATGTTTCTTCTTGTTTGTGTTAATCTGTAAGATATTTTTTGAATGTTGTAGCATTAGTTTTATATGATGCACAAAGATTTTGTGCAATTAGTTTACATTTGTTGCTATATAAATAGCCAAGTTGCCAAATTTGTGAAAGGAAGAAAAGGTAAAGAAAGCTCTTTCCTCAGTCAAAAATATACTGTCCATCCTCAATGTAAAGTCCATAAGTGGCTTTATCTGGCATGATCTACTTAAAACGACTACTATGTTCAATTTAGAATTTAAATGAGCAGTGAGTTTATTTATGAGGAAAGAGGTTATTGATTAAATTGATAGAAAGGCAGCAATACTGGACTTTGGAAGTGGCTAATAGTTAGTTGAAAATGTCTGTCACTAAATTATATAGATTAATACAGAAGTAGTGAGAGTACAAATCTTTGTATTTGTCACTACAAGCTGGAAAGACTGTGTTATATAAGTCTTCTGGATCAACAATGTGATCCTGATGCGTGCTCAGGGAGCTGGTTGAAAATAATTGGTATGACTAAGTATACAAAATTGAGAGGATTAAACAGGTAAAGGAAACATAGGACCCTCCAGCATCCTACTGTCCATGCTATACAGGGAATAGGAACGTCAGTGAAACTTTTCATATTATGATGGATTTAATTTATACCACAGAACAGTTGCACCTCATTCAATGTCATGCACTTTGCACTTGACTTTCTTTCCTGTGCACAAACTGAAATAAGAGTCAGGGCTAATTTCGTAGGCTTGAAAACACCGACTTATGAATCCCACTGCGCCATTTTTAACGTCAGGGTATCATTAAAATATACACTCCAGTAGGGGTACTATTAACACAGATGTGTTGATTACAGCACTTTTGACATTTGGATAAATGTAGTAATTAATTTAGAAAATCTTAAAAATATTCTTGGCAGTTTTTTTTTAATGTTACAAATTAAAGTGTTTAGAAATTTGGCAGACTTTTGTCCTACGGCAAGCTGACTGGTTGCTGACTAGATTATATCATCTTCATTTTCCTATGATGCGTAGACTATAGACGCCACCAATCTTTCCTTCATTCTTACACCCTGCATCTGGTATGATGTCACTGAGTGTTTCCTGAGACAAGGGAAACATTTTCTGAGTACTGAAGTACCTGTTCGCATTGTGTGCTCAATTATCTCCCAAAGCATGTATCTGTAATGAGAGCATCAAGCTTTCAATTAAATCTAAACTAAAAGTTCTACCAAAATGTAGGCTAGGAGTAACTTTGTCAATAAGTAGAGGATCAATGTGATGAGACTGTCTTAAACTGTTGTGCCACCTCTAAAATGGCAGATCCATTTGATTGTTCGTGAGATGCACACAATATTTGCACAAAGCTTCAACTTTTGCAGCACAAGAAAGTGAATTACTTCATGATTTGAAGGGTTCAGAAAATTCAGTGTCTCTCTAGCTTGTCTGTCAGCAGTCTATGGAGGTTGCTTTAACTCTCTTAGCTCAAGGCATTTGATGGTGCAGCATCTTTACATTTGATCAAATTACTAAAAATAAGAATCCCACAAATTGAAACATTTTTCTAAAACTTCAGTTTTGATAGAAGAAAACATGTTGAGAGCCCAGAGACGCAACTATAAATCCACATCAATTGATGTCGCAACTCCACCAAAACTGACTGTAAACAATTTCAATGGCTGTAACTTGAAAGAATGTGCACTTGTAAAATACTTAGGGCTGGAAATTACATGAAAGATATGTGATGAGTATGAAGGAATGGAGAATCAAAGGTAGTGTGTATTTTTGCCACAAGAATCTTTCAAAGAAAAATGTGCTTGGTAAAACGCTAAGTTCCTCTCATTTATTTTGTAAGTATATGAGCCAATATTTTCAAGAGAATATTTTAAACTGATGGAGTAACACGAGAATGTAAATGATTCAGTATCTGAATGGCATTCATTATGTAGAGATACGACAATAAACTGTGATACTGATAAGTATATGTAACACATCACTATTGCAGATGTGAGGGAGTTAGTTAGATGCAGTCACTTACATTGGTACAAGAACAACATACTGTAATCTTCAATGTGATTAAACAATAGGGATATTCTGAAGTTCCCATCTAAAATAACCTCCCAGCAGAGGGTGTGAAGCAAGGATAATGCATTTGACAAACTAATAATTCAAATTCACCACAATGCATCAAGCAGATTAGCTCGTTAATAGGAGAAAGACTTTGTTCTATCTTAAATGCTTAAGGTCATTACAGAAAAATCTTACCTCAAAATATCTTCTGTACTCATTGCTTGGATTGCGTTGCTCACGTTCCATTAAAACTTCTTCTTATTGGGAACCTCCAATAAAATTTAAATAACCCATGGTTGGACTCCCTTCAATTGATATCTGTAATTCAATTGATACAATGTACACATAGGGAGAGTCAGTTAATCACATGGAATGATACTGTTCTCTAAATTGTGATTCAAATCCAGTACATTTCAAAAACAATTATTCTTCATGCTTGAAACCTCTAGTTAGTAGCATGTTTGTGTCTTGCAGAAATTAGAGACAATGAAAACAGTATTAGAAAAGTGCTGATAATTACAAACAAATTATTAAAAATCTTTTTCAACTGAGTTTTTTACTTATTTTAACTACCTTTATTTGCATTCCTACATAAGACTGTGCCTCTGGGGACAATGCAAGAAACAGAGAAACTTAATGATGGCAATGATGTGGCTCACCTGGCTTGTCGCCTCTCAGCACAAGCTCTGTGTTTTCTGGAATTGATGCCATACTTTTAACATATCATCTGCAGAGATTTGTCCTCGGTTACAGGTGGACTTGTCACACTCACTTCCACACACCCAGTGGCAAGTTGCGTTTTTGGGAATTTTCGGATGAACACTGGACAACCAGATCCCAAGAGAAGTATCTTCACCTTGATATCGATGAAGCCACCTTGAATTGGTTGCTGGAATAGAATGGAAAAGAAGAGATTATACATCAACAAAAACCTTGAAATTTATCCGGTCAAAAGGCACCAAAATAGACTTACAAAGAAATTTAACAACATTTTCATTCAGTACATAGCTAGCGCCACACAAGAATGGGGGGTACACTGGTGCAGCATATAGAAGTTCCTGCCATTTACCATGACGTTCAACAGGCAGGCCATGACGTAATCTTCCCCACCACCACATTTCAGACAGTGCACCTGATTTCTCCTCAACTTTTTCGATAAATTTCAAGTATTTCTCAATTAAGGGTACATTTAAGAATGTATCATCATCTGCTTTAAGCAAAAATGAGAAATGTAAGTTATTGTGGACCCTGTAAGACAATTTGTGAAAGCGATATTGACTGGGCCCAAACATAACAATTTAATAAACAAACACATTTTTGAAAGTACTGTAGCTTACCACACATAAAAATTAAGAAGCTTGTCTGGAATATTTCTATAGACATCTACAACGTCTACAAATAAAATATCTTGTTCGATGGATGCTTCATCACTCAGTCTCTTTGACTGAAATTTGATCTGCTTATCCCAATCCTCACTACGAGTTTGCTTCTTAGCCATAACAGTTTCCAAATCTGAAAAAATTTCACTACCATGAAGCATTTACCGGTAATAGGAAGTTAGACTATATGAAAAAATAATTAGAAGATAAAACAAACAGCACATGGTCAAAACTTACCATGGATTTTCAAAAGAACCGATATTGGAGAGCACGTTTCTTCATTAAAGTTAGACCATCCTCTTTCTACACTATACTGTGTAGTAAATTCAATCGCTTCACTAAAATTGAACCAAGAAGAATGGCCATAGCACGATGGAATTGTTTGGTCAGCAACTGTTGAATTTTCAGCAACAAGTTGCAATTCAGCATCAAATGATTTTGGTAATAAAAATGGTTTAGATTCTACCTCAACCCACGTCATATTAGTGGAAGCTGGCTGTTTAAATGAAGCGGAAGAGATCAAAGTACCAGTCCTTGCATTCTTCAAGTTAATTGTAAGTGAAGAAAACGTCTGAAGTAGTCCCATCCAAACACGAAATCGCTGCACAACAACTGGGAAATTCACATGGAAAGTGAAAGAGGTAACAGTGGCACCTGTGATTCTTGAGCTTTCGGCAGAGATCTCAGGCGTCCATATAGAATCAGCATATTGTTTATCTGAAATAGACAGACAAGATAAGACATTACAGCTACAAATAAATAAATTATAGCAACATATACACTTACCTGAAGGCAGCTCAAGCGATTCACATGTTAAGTCGGATTTGCGATCAACGGGATGAATGGGACAAAATTCACTACCAACAATGAAGTAAAACTTGTGATTTGTCTTGTTAAGCAGAGTTTTCCATGTTTTTCTAATGCTTGATCTTGCAGCAAAATTGTTCTGAGCAGATAAAATTCCGACAACAAGTAGACTCTTTTCACCTGCAGGACCTGTTGGGACTTGGTTAGTTCGACATGATATTTTTTAACAATACATCTTGACTCAACTTGAAAAACAAAATTATTGAAAAAGGGAAACTTTGAACCATTGACAATTGAGATAAAATTACAAGAAACAGCAAAACTGAGAAAAGGCTCTAACCTGAAAACACAGATTCTAGGATCCGAAGGGAAATAAACACCGAAATACACACAAGGATGGCCCATTTTCGAAAAAATATTAGCATGATGATGAGAAAAGACAAGCTGTCAAATCAAAATGACACTTGACACTTCAAGTGACACTGACACTGACAATACTCGTTGTGCCTGACGGACGTTTAACTTCCCGGCCTTCAAAGTAGCCGCTTGAAATCGTTGACAGGATCCCAGTCTGCCACCTCTTAAAGATAAAGTCAAACAAAAATTTGAACAAAATTTGAGCAGAATTATGAAAATATACAATAAAATTATTTGAAAAGTAGTATGTACTTAGTTTTTAAGTTTTTGTTTTCAGATTAGCCGTAAAAAGCTAGAGAAATATGAAAATTTAGACTTTTTACAGTTTGCGACATGCACTCTTTTTCGAGATCGATCAGTCGATTGCTGAAGGCAGTTAACTTCAAAAGCAAATTCAGATTCACTAAAGAAAGGGACATGAAGAGGTTGTGTTTGTGCTGGAAATGCCTAATACGTTGTTAATCTAGGTTTGAAATTGAAGTGTTTATATTATTTTGTACGATTTTTATTCCGCGACGGCTTTGTAAATAATTTGGAAACGATGGACATGGCCACCAATGGTGAGTACACGTTTGAATGCATCGCTGTACCGTCTTCGTCTAGCCGAGCCTAGGCTTCTGTTTTGTTTTCAGCTCGTATTTGTCCTCCGAGATTTGTCCTGGCTTGTGCCGATTCGCTTGCTAATCTCTCGGCACGGGCGGGCCTAGGCCGACAGCCGCGGTGATTGCCGACTCATGTTACGCCGCAGACTAGAGTGCGACGATCGCTCCTAACCGCGATAACCTACCCTGGGCTTTGTTGTTGGGGCTGGCTCCATTCCTGGCTCATTCAAATTCGGTCCTCTTGCACTCGATGTTGTCACTCTATTGTCGAATTCTGTTCAGTTTGCGTTCTGAATCTTGGCACTCATTTCTCTTGTCTATTGTTCTCAAATTTTGACCCTTAGGCGTTCAAGGTGAAAAGAGTCTCCACTCATTGTAATGATGTTAATCGTTAGGTAATCTTTTGAACGGTGCCCTGTGTTACAACTCTGACTCTTTTTGTACATTCTTTGAGTTCACCAAGACCTTGTGAAGTTTTAATTATTATCTTGGTTTCATGATCTGTCATTTTGAGCCTCATAATTCAAGACAGACTACATTTTGACTTGTAGATTATTAATTTTTTGTGTCTATGTTAATAATGCAACAATTGCTTCATTGTCGGTTACCGTTAACTCCAACGCTCAATTATTCTTCTTGATTTCAGATCTGGGCCTAGTGTGGATGGGTTCGAATGACATGTTACTACAACCAGACTCCGAGCACATGTTCACACAGCAAGCTGATGGGACGTACTACAATGATTCCTCACAGTCCTTGCAGTCTTTGGAGGATATGAGACCACAACTTGTGTGTATTTTCATTATAGAAGTTATTCTGTACTTTCTTTCACATCTACCCTTGCCTTAATGATTTCATTGAATTGCAGGGCATGGAAAACTTCATTGGTCTTGATGAGTATGAATCGTTTGCTGGTGAAGAAGGGACCAAGGTGGCATCTCCAGCTCAGGCCTCGCAGCAAGGAAACACCAAGAAGATTCGTCCGGTAAAGCACCCTGGCCTGAAGCTAAAAACCCCTATAGCATACCAACGTGACACTGATCCCAGTGTGATTCCTATTCAGAAAGATGGGATGGGTATGTTGCCATATAAATGAGCTTCTTTTTAGCTTGATACTTAAGAATCTCAGAATCATAACATGCTGCAATATTTGTTGTTGTGTCTTTTTTAGCTGTCTGTCAAAACTGTGGTGCTATTGGAGTGAAGCATGCCTTCTACACCAAAGAGAGGCGATTTTGTAGCCTTGCTTGCTCTAGAGGAGAAAATGCAGCGCCACTGAAAGAAAATGTTGAGATAAAGCAGGAACCAGTGAGCAACCAAGTGCAGCAAGTTGTTCAGTCTCCCATCCCTCAGCAAGTTCAGCAGGTTCAGCAAGTTCAACCGGTCCAGCTACAGCAATTGCAAATGCAACCGCAAATGCAACCACAAATGCAAATTCAGCAGCAAATGCAAGTGCTGATGCCTCAGATGCAAATGCCTGGCCAGATCCCAGGCCAAATGCCAGGCCAAATCCCTCAGCAGATTCAAGGCATACCTCCCCAGATGTTGGCCAATGGTTTGCAGCCGCAAGTTCCTTTGCAAATGCAGCCGATGCAGGCTCAAATGCAGCAAATGCAGCAATTGCCGCTCGGGATATCGCAAATGGACCCACAGTTGCAGCTTTCGATGCAAATGCAGCCCCAGGTGGACATGTCTCACCTGCAGATGAACATGCCAATGGCAGCACAGATGCAGGTGATGCAGGCACAGATGGAGGTTGTTCCTCAGGTACCCATGCAGTGTGAGACCATGCAGGGACAGCAAGAGGATGATGGTCAGATGGAGCAGAAGACTTGGAATAGTTCGGACTCTAAAAGTGAAGATTCGTTGTCATCAAGTACTCCAGCTAGACCTTACCCTGCCTTTTCTCCCTTGCCTCCATTGCAATTGGATGAGCCTATTTTCCCGCCTGACAAAAAAAGCTGTCCTGATTTGGCAGGAACCTTTGAGTGGGATTCTTCTCTTAATGATCCTGCATTCGTAGCAGCACCTGTGTCCTGCTTTCAGCATGTATGTTCATTTTAGTCATCCTACTATGTCACTTGGGCTTGTCTGTTTAAGCTTCATTAATTTTATTTTGTACATTTGATTATTAGGCACCAATGGCTGATAACTGGGACAACATAACAGTGGGAATGAAAGTGGAGGTACAAAATACAGACTGTGACAACTTCTCAGAGGACTTCCCTGACTCCTTTTGGGTGGCCACTGTACTGAAAATTCAAGGTCTGTAATAATGCATCCCTTTAATTTTCCCTTCAAATTTAACCGTAGTTCAACACAGCTCCATTTTTTCCCCCCAAGGTTACAAAGCTTTATTACGCTATGAAGGATTTGGCCAAAATAGCAGTAAAGATTTCTGGGTGAATTTGTGTTCTTCAATTGTTCATCATGTTGGATGGTGCGCTATTCGTGGTCGTCCTCTTATCCCACCCAAAAGTAAGCTTTGATATTTTTTCTCTGTGCACTTGGTATCTTGAACTTGACCTAATTTTCATCGTTGCTCTCTCTTAATTTCAGCTGTTGAACATAAATATACTGACTGGAAAGATTTCTTGGTCAAGCGTCTCACAGGTGCTCGCACCCTTCCATCAACATTTTATAACAAAGTACATGAAAGCCTGAAGTCAAGGTTTAGGTGTGGTCTTAATGTTGAAGTTGTGGACAAGAACAGAATATCTCAAGTCAAAGTAGCAACCATTGAGAAAATAATCGGAAAGAGAATACATGTCAGATACTATGAAACAGATGATGATGACAATGGGTTCTGGTGTCATGAAGATTCAAGCCTTATGCATCCTGTTGGCTGGGCTCACAGAGTGGGCCATGAAATTGATGCTCCACCAGAATATTTAGATAGGTGTTTATCTGGGGTGTGGGATGAAGATGATGCTACTGAGAACTTGTTCCCCCTTCAAATGCGACAGAAGCAACAATTCAACCAAATAGTTTCACAACTAGCTACAAATAAGCAGACCGGTTTTGTTGAAGGAATGAAAGTTGAAGCAATAGACCCTTTAAACTTGTCATCAATCTGTGTGGCCACCGTCATGAAGGTGAGACCTGTTGCAGGGCTGTAAAGTTTGAAGCATGTGAATTTTCTGTAGAACTTTATCAACAGTGATTTTGTTTTTCATTATCATTTCTTAGGTACTGAATGAAGGCTATCTGATGATTCGAATTGAAACCTATGATGCTGATATAAATTGCTCTGACTGGTTTTGCTATCATCAAACATCAGCATGCATTTTTGCACCTGGTTTCTGTGAAGCAAACAATATCACTTTGACTCCACCCAAGGGGTTTGAAATTGGAGCCTTCAACTGGAATGCTTATCTTCAAGAAACTCAGTCTTTGGCTGCTCCTTCGTTTTTGTTCAAACAGGTATTTCTTATTCTACCACCTAGTCTAAATCATGTATTTTTATGCTTAATTATATTTTTCAATAAATACTGAAATTATTTGCAGTGGGAGGTACCTAATCATGGATTTTGCCAAGATATGCACCTTGAAGCAACAGACATCATGGACCCTAGACTTGTGTGTGTGGCAACAATATCTCGCGTTGTTGGGCGTCTTCTTAGGGTCCATTTTAATGGTTGGGAGGTTGAATATGACCAATGGTTGGACTGCAGTAGCCCAGATCTATATCCTGTTGGTTGGTGTCAACTTGTGTCACACAAGCTGGAAGGACCCAGAGTAATATCACCTCCTAAAGTCAATCCCAATGCAGGTGAGTCAGCTTTTATGTTTTTCTCTTTTAATTTTGGTATTTTCTTACTGCCCTCTGGAGCGGGAAATCTTGGTGAAGCTGCAAAGTGGCATGTATAAAAACTCAAAGTAGTTAAACCTTCTATCTGCTTTACCTTCCCTTTTCAAAATTGAGTTCTCTTACCTCTTTTCTTTTTGAAAATGGTTTCTGGAAGATGGTGTGGTGTTATCTAACTGGCATGGGCTCTTGGTTCTGTGATGTAGGACGGACACAGCGTGGAGTTCGTGGAAGGCGAGGTCGTAGAGCCATGCCCAAGCGGCGTCCGGGTATGAAAAAGAGTCCTGGTGGTACTTTAACAGCTGTGCAGGTCCCTGCCATGGGTGATGCAGCAGTTCCCATGTTAATGCAAGTTGACTCCCTTTCAGGTTTGTGTTTTTCTTCTATTTTCTTGCCTTTTCATGTAGTATCTCTAGAGCTCAATCAAAGTTCTGCTTTCTCTTATGTAACGTGGGATGCCAATGCCAATCAGACGCTCCTTTTGGTAAAGAAAAAATACCCCATTGGTCCTGGGTTTGGTTATATTTGAGGAATGCATTGAACGTTTCATTAACAACCCATGTTTTCTACTCTGCATCTTGTAGAGTGAGGTTACAAACATTTTAGCATTATAGAAAATGTTAGCAAATTATATTTACTTTTCACATTGTGTATTACAGACACGGGCAGTGATCAAGGTATGTCTCATGAGGGATTCTGTGATCCCCTATCAGTGGAAATGGAAGATAAACACCAAATACTTTCCTCCAATGTAAGTCTTCATGAAGCTTTTGTAGTCATTGTAAGAGTTTTGCATAAACAATAACAATGATCTCTCTGTTCTCACAGGCAGTTGTCTCAGGTTCCAAAGTGATTCCTCGCCTTGTGGATAACAGTAGTGCTTCACTTGGAGATCTTAATCCCAATGATTGGGATGTTGATGATGTTGCTCACTTTTTGAAAGTAAACGATTGTGCAGCCTATTGTGACAATTTCGCCAGAAAGGTACATTCATTTTTTGAGAATCAGTACTGTTTGTCTGCTTTATTTTACTTAACTTAATGTTGAATTTTCCCTATTCCGTATACAGAATATAAATGGTAAAGCTTTGCTCAATCTCACCAAAGAAGAGGTCATGGGTTTGTCTGGAATGAAAGTGGGGCCTTCCCTGAAAATATCTGATCTAATCCAGCAGCTGCGTATTAAGGTTAACCCTGCCCAGGAGCGAGCCAAAGCAGGCTACAAGAAACTTCTCTAGGATCAATTTGCCGGGGTGAGAAGTTCTATCCTTACCCCGGCTGTCCTCAAGCTGCTCTTGCATAATACAGCCCTGTTAAACAGGCATTTTTATTTATTGATGACAGTTCTGAGAATTTTGAAGTGAATTGGTCAAGAGACATGGTTTCCCTTTGCCTTCACCATTTCATGGTGTACTGTTTCAAAAAGTGTGTTTTAAACTTTTTGAATGTAGTGTGTAGCAGAATTTCAAATGGTTTTACATGTGAGGAGTTATCATGGCCATACTCTGATAATTAAATTGGTCTCTGACTCTTTAAATCCTGGTGGTCATTGTGTAATCAGCATTTTTTTTCTCTTATTTTGGTTGAAAAAAAAGTGAAAAATGTATATTTTTACTACCGATTTGTTGAGTACTCTATAGTTTGATAACTTATGAATGCTAAGTTTAGTTGTTGCACTTAGTCATGTACTTCTAAAGTCATAATATGCTATCTGCTACCTTAAATTGTGCTGTGAGGTAAATCTCCTACTAAGCTACATCTCTCTTTTCCTAAAGCAAAGGCTTCTTAGCTACTGTAAAATTATTTTCTATAGGTTTTATGAGTGGAAGTTGTCAAGCAACACAATCACGGTTACGTGTACACCTTCTATGATTTTGGAAGTATGTTTAGTGGTTGGATTAAATGCCGTTTTTATTTTTCCTGTCATTGAAACCCAAGTTAGCTTTAGTCCATCCCAACTGAGCTGTCATTTGTTTGGTTGATGAGGCATATCATTTGTGTTTTGCAGTGTGAAGTTAGTGTCTGTGTTGAATCTGCCAAAGCAACTCCCTATTTTGTTGAATCACGTAGGACTGTTCATCTTTGAAGTAGCTGTTGAATTTATTTATCTTTTTATAGGCTAATGACCATCTCAGGGGTATCTGTCGCCTTTTTGATAATAATGCATTATTAATGTTTGTATATTACTCATTACCGTCTGTACATAATTTCATATTCATGCAACTGAAAGCAATCACCATAAGACTTCTTTTTTAATCGCCTTATTAGATTTTGTTTACATTCAGTCACTGATATTTATTGTTATTTAAGGACATCCACATGTCGTTTGTTGAGGAATTTCAGGGCAATTATAATAGAAATATCATTCTGTTTTGTGTTGTTGCATAAAGTAGGTTCAATCCAAATATGTGGAGGGAAGTTGTTGGCATGCCTGTAAATGTATGCATAGCTCTAATCTCTAATGTAGGCATTCCTTGGCTGTGAATTAAGTGAATATGACTTGATTATTTTCTTACTCGCTGTCCTTTCAGCAACACTGTAATTTTGTAAAATGTATTTTACCAATTTCATTCAATTATTTGGAAATGAAATTCCAAGCCAAATTGACACTTTTTCTTTTTGTTAGTGTTGCAGCATAGTTTTATTACATGAGACTAGGATACCTGCAAGTCACTCTATCATTTAAAAAAAAAATATGTTTTTACTGAATAAGTGTACACCAGCCTTATCAACTCCTCCCTTGTAATTTTTTTTCAACTGCTGATGCAATCGCTGGTTGCAGGTGCACTGACTTGTTTTTCTGTATGATCTTGGAAACGTGTGGTCCTTAGTGTTTGGTATACCTGTATTTTTACAGTGTCTCCAAGGATTATTGTACCCTATGTAAATATTTATTTTTTATTTCTATTGTGCTTAAGATTAATCAACTTGATCTTGCACTAGGGTCTTTTTTTGTTTCAACTCATAAATCATGGTTAATCGTAGAAGAATGGTAGTTTTTATGTGTGATTACAGTATAGTTTTTTAAAAAAATATTTTCATGCGGCCATTTTTTTTCTACTTTTTTTGAGATTTCTTGTCTCTGATCCCCAGAGTGATCATGAATTTCAGCCCTTGTGCAAGTTCCCAGCTTAGTTCCCTGAGCAATGTTGCTGATTGCGATGCTTTGTCAAAGATGGCATAAGAACTGTCTTTGCTGTTATTCATTGTTGTCATTGTATCCCTACACTGTTGGGAGAACTACTTACCTGGTAGATTGCTGATGAGGTGCAGAGGTCTTCAAAATCATGTGTGGTCTGTATCTGCTCTAAGCATTGTTTCTGGAGCAATCTCTCTTTGCTCTGTTAGCAAAATCTTACAATCTACACAGAATTAAGACTGCAGTCAGGAACCAAGTAACTATTATACCCTTATTTAAAATTAAATAAAGTGAAATCCCTGTGGTCAGTTTTTGTGTTGTTGTACCTCATTGGCATTAGTGTGTGACTTGTTAAAGCACCAATCCCACAAAGCTGTTTATTTTTAAGTCCTGCAACGGAGGTTTTCTTGGATGCTGAAAATGAAGTCTAATTTGAATTTCAGTCAATTTGAAAATCAATCATCGGCGATCAGGTAAGTATGATTTGTGGTTTGAAGCTGACCTGTATCTATATTCCCATCTCCTTGAAGATTTTCAAGAGGTGATCGGGGGAAAACTTGGAAGTCAAAGGCGACTTCGAAGTTGAGTGCATCGCCGGCAGGTGGCGCCGCCATTGCGCGTCGGCGTCGGCCTAGCAAAAGCCATGCCGATTGAATGGACGCAAGCCTTGCAGCCCTCCAGCCTTGCCCGCGGTGAGTGGTGCGTGCCACCCCGTCTGGTGGTCGCAGCCTCTGGGCCGCCCCTGGTTCCAGGCCTTCCAGGCCCGCCGCGCTGCCGCTGCTGCCGTGTTTGGGTCAATAAATGAGGCGGTGGCGCCGGTTCAATGATGCCAGGCCCAGGCCGCCCAGGCAGTGGCGGGGCGTAGCGGCATCGTTCTGCGACGCAGCTCTCGATGCGGCGCCACTGAAAGGCAAAATCCCCGCCGGGGAGTCTGTTTGCCCGCAACGCACACCGCGCCGAGCCCCAGCTCGCCGACAGCGACAAGTTGGAGTGCAAGTCGTGCGTCGGTGGCTCGGCAAGGCGCGGCGCAGGCGGCGTGGCGCGCGGATCGACTCCAGATTCTCCTCCGCGCGCCCAGGCCGCCCAGCTGGGACGCTGACCCAAGCCACGGCGGCGGCCTCCGCGGGCGGCGTCTAGCGGCGTCGCAGCAGCGCGGCGTCAAGTAGTCCGCGCGCGCCGAGGCGGAAATCGCGAGACGAAACGCAGTTTCCCGGAAAACGCGCCGCTTCCGCCTGGGAAATTTAATTTCCGACACTTTGGGCGTGAGACGCGGCCGCCGCGGCGCCACACGTGGTCTTCTCATTGACCACGGCGCGCACGAATATTGGCTCACGTTGTGCAACCCTTCAGCTGTTTCCCGCCAAAGCTCGCCATTACAAAACACAGCGTGGTGAGAGGGCTAGGCGTGGGCCGAGTGAGCGCGCGCTGTTTTGGATCGCGGGAGCGTTTTCCGTCGAATCCGACTGCCGTTTTTCGCCTTTCGGCGCCCCGCGTGTCCGACGCGTGCCGGATTCGTCCAGCGAGAAGACTTGGAGCCATGGCCGCGGCCTACCGCAGCCTCAGCGAGGAGAGGAAGATGAGCGGCGACGACTTCGATTCTGGCGACCAGGAGGATGTGGGCAGGTACGGTACGCTAGCCGCTACGCAGTGAGACGGGGTGGGTTGGTAGGGCGGGCTGGGCCGGCCCGACCAGGTCCGTGGCGGGCCGACGCGTAGCCAGTCTCTGTTTCAAAATTTCAATTTTTTTTCCAAAATTTTGTGTCGCGTGGCGGACTGGAGCCGTCAGCTGATAAGCGCTGCCCGCGACGGCGGCGCCACGCCGCGGAGTAGCGCCGTCTCTCTCGCACTGCCGGGCAGCCGGGCGGTGTGCGAGTGAGACGGCGATGCCCCGTCCCACGACGCGACGACGCGACGCGGCTACGCGGCGCGGCCGGCACCGTCAGCTGATGTCGCGGCCATGCTGCAGGCAGCTGCAAGCAGCTGCAGGCGTCCTCGCCGTTCGCTCATTTCCAGGCCGGCCAGGGCTGGGGTTGAAGTGTTCGAACGGCCGCGGGGTGCGCGGGGGGCGTCGTTGGCCGTTGGGCCCCTCGGCCTCCGCGCCGCCCTGCCGCCCCAGCCCCACGGCCTGCCTGCGCGGCGTGCCCCGTGGCGTACCCCCGCCCTCCCAGCGCGATGGCGGATGCCTGGTGGACTTGGACGCCACGGAGGCGAGGCGTCGTGTTATTCAGTTTCAGTTTTCGGCCTGTTCGGACAGTTTTTGCCCTGCTTCTCCCCGCTCCGATTTCAGCGTCTTCGCTCTGAAATAAAAGACAGCCTGCATTGTCGGATCGCCACGCCCGCTTGTTGGCGTTTGTCTTTCTTTTCGGTCGTGGATGTTTCCAGAAGGGCCTTGCCCGTTGCCATGGAGTGGAGTGAATAATGCTCTCAGCTGATGTGAACTTGTGTCGGGACCTGTGTAGTAGCGGCCGCCTCCGCGTTTTGAGTGTTTTCAAATATTTCTTATGGCATTAGTTTTGTTCCGGAATATTTTCCTTGGCCCGGAACGAAACATTTGCTTGGTCGTTTCGGTTTTGGAGCGCGGGGCTTGGTTGGGGCTTTTCGGTGATGGCGTCGCTTGGCTCGGCGCTCGGCCCCCTCGGCCGCATGGCGTCCCCTCCGCGCCCCCGCTCCTAACCTATACTGGGTTTTGTTTTGAATGCCTCAGCTGATCTCGACGGGTTGGTTGAACCTCTGATAAATGGTCTCAAGGACAGAGGTTCTATCGCCCTGAGTTCGATTGAGGGTCCGTTTGTGTTGTTCTTCTGTCGCATCGGAGAAATTCCGAGCTTGGCAGTGAGGAATGGAATGAAATTTTGTTGAAAACTTGTCTGGCAATTTCATTTTGACTCTGTTTAACAGTAACCGATAGCTGGAATTTAAATTGATTTTGAATTGATTGAAAGTAGATACAATTTTTTTTTGAACTACTTGGTTTTTGCTTAGGAAAGTGGGAAGACCAGTTGGTCCGAAGCTTTCTAAATTTGGTTGATTGTAAAGTTGTGCTAACTCACCCACTTGTATTATTTTTAGCACGCTTTCTATCATCCATCTAGAGACAAATACAGCAGATTGATACAATTTCTTGAATGGTCCCGTTGATATCTTGCTGATAATGGGAGTCCTGTCGTGTGTGTGTGTACTGAGGACGGAATGTCATTCTTTGCATGAGTAGGATGCCATTAGGTCATGGCCAAGCTTATCTACTGTCGACGGCCAATTGGTTTATTTCAAGACAAACATGATTTAGGCCAGTACGAAGGTCCACGTCAGTTCCGTCAGGTAGGGGTTGAGGCTTCTCATTACATTTTGAGCTCCAACCTTTGTCAGTTTTCTTAAAAATCCCATTTACTCCCATGTTTTGATGCTTCGCTGATAATGCTGGATATTTAAAAAATTAAAAACATGTCAGGCTTTCCCCAGTGAAAACTTTTTTAACACTGAGGAAGTCAGTCCAAGAAAATGTTTCCGTATATTTTGTTTTTTTGTTGGATTTATTTCAAAATGGGCTGCATCATATTTCCCATTCCTTCACTCACGTCGGGGTCTACAGGTCCACGTCGTACACGACATTGCAAGGGTGGGGGATTCATACCAAATTCACGACACACTCGGGCAGAGCACGAGCAGCACTTAAACTACTTGTTCGCCGGGCCGACGAACGTCGCTAAACGCCGTCGCATTTTTTATCTTTTTAGTTTGTGAATTAAAATTTTGAGTCCGGGCAGAGCGCGGCGTGGATTGACCTCGCGCGCTGCATTGACCCCGTGACTAAGTGGGCCCTATCGCCATCTCCATTCCCCAGCACTGTCTGTGTTGCCATTGCGGTTCCCATGTGGCGTTGTTGTCCCCCGAACGGCGCGACCAGCACCGCGACGGGTACCCGCTGGTACCGAGTACCGATTGGGATCCGTGGGCACCGTCCGGCCATCGGGCCACCGCACTTTGGCAGCTGCAGCCGGGTGTCGACTCAGCTGTTAGCTGGTGTGCATCACGGTGTTGTTCTGCTGCACCGCGCACGCCGCGGCTAGGCCATGTGGTCCGCGCGGGGATTGGTCGCTGGCCAGCCCTCCGTGCCTGCATGCAGAGCAAGCAGGTCGGAAGCAGCGCGAAATGGAGGCAGGGGCGGAAGGCAGCTGAACGCCCCGCCAAACGCCAAGGGAGGCTCGCGGGGCACGGGGGCCGCGGCGGAGCGCGGTGCGTCCTGCCGCCTGGCGCAGCACGGCGCAGCCGTGGCCGCCTTGCCGATGAATGGTGCTGCTCCCGCCGCGCTGCGCCGCATCGCGCGTTCAGCCAGGGCGTCCCGTCCCGTCCCGCCGTCCCACCGGCACCGTGGGGCGCGGTGCGGCGTGGGGACCGCGACGAGAGACGCGACGCTTGCCGCGCCCACCGCGCCCCGCCGGCACGCCGGGCCGTGGCGAGCGCAGCCATGTGGCGCGGGGTCCTCGCCTGCTTGCCGGGCCCGGGCCGCGCGGGTCGGGACGCGGTGCGGCGTACGGCGCGATGGCCGCGCACCACCGGGCCGTGGCGAGCCGCGCCGTGCCGTTGGGCGGGACGCTGCTGACGCTACGGCCTGCCTGCGGCTCGGCGCGCGGCGCGGCCGCCCAACCCAAGCCAGCAGCCAGCCAGCCCAGCCAGCCAGTAGTGCGGCAGCCGGCCCCGAGAGTACGTCTACGTCGCGTGCGTGCGTGTGGTGCCAGCGCGTGGCCGAGTGCAGCAGTGTGTGTGCATCGAGTGCAGCCAGTGCATAGTGCCGACCTGGACGTGATGATGCCGGACGAGGCCATGGAGTCGTACGACGGGTAGGTATCCAGGACGCCGGCGACGCCGTGACAACCCGGCCCAGCGCGCCGCCTCGCCGCGCGGCGTCAGCTGTTGCCAGTCACATGGAGACGAGGCGGCGCAAGGCGGCGGGGCGGCGGCCCTAGCCAGGGCGAACCAGCCCAAGCGCGCCTCGCCTGGCCTCGCCGGTCGGCCGGCACACACCGGCCAAGCCGGGCCAAGCCGCCGGTGCTGCTTGCTGCCTCAGCTTCTGCTGGCTCACCCTGGCGGGCCGCGGTGGCGGGCTGGCCCATGGCCTGCCCATGGCTGGCCGCTGGCGGGGGTGGGGCGGGCGGCGCGGGGCACTGCTCGCCGGCGAGTCAAGAGCAGCCCTCCCGTTCGCCTCGCCGTGCCCCGCCCTTGCGCGGCGCGGCGCGGCCACCCGGATGAATTTTGCACCGACTTGATGTAGGTCCAGCAGCAGGACTGCCGGGAGCAGGGCGAGCAGGGCGTATTCCCCTTGCTGAATCAGCTGGCCGAGCATGCCTGGCGGCCCGGCCCGGCCCTGTGACTCATCCGAATGCCGAGGCATGGCGCGGCGCGGCATATCTCGGCTTTGAATGGCGAGTCGTATTCCCTCGGGCTTCGCCGCTTCGCCGGCCCGGCAGGTCCCCGCGGTGGCGCGCTGGCGCCGTCGGGGCGTGGCCACGGCCAGCCACGGCGCGGCAGGGATTCCTTGCGGACTCAGGTGCGCTGCGTCGCGGCGTCGCTGCGGGGTGGGGCGTCGTGGCGTCGAACTTTGTGCGTAACGCGACTCTGTGCGTGTTGAGGCTCTCGTTGGGCTGCGCCCGTTGTGCCCAGGCTGTGCCTTTGGCGGGCACCCGGGCTGGCCCCGTTGGCACGTCACCTGATGTAAAGGCCCGCCGGGTTTCATCACCTCGCGGCGTCTCTTCGCGCGTCGGTCTATGGCGCGGCCTGTTCAGCTGACCGGGCGGGGCGCCACGCGGGGTGGGGCGGGGCGGTGCCTGGTGGCCAGTGGGCCGGCGGGCCCTGCGCCGTACGCCCCAGAGAGGCCGGCCGGCCGCGCTGTGCCGCGCTGTTATTTCGGGCCTTGGGGCCGCTTGACGTAAGCACTCGGCTGTAACAGAAACAGGTGGCGGCCAGTCCCTCGGTGTGCCCTCGGCCTGCCTCGGCCGGGCAGGCGACGCCCTTCGCCGCCACGCCGGGGAACCAGGGGAACCACCGCGCTGCCGGCACCGCCAGTCAGCTGATGTGCAGGTCGTTTACGCGCACCCCCTTCCCCTAGGCCGTCCTAGGCCGCAGTGCTGTGACAGCCGACGGCCAGCCGCGCAACTTGTGCAATCCAACCCGGCGGTGGGAACGTCGCCGTGCTCGCCGTGCTGTACGCCGTTCGGCCCACATCACTGGCGACACACTGGCGCCGTCGCGTCCCGCGGCTCCCGCGTCACGTGACTCGGACAGGAAGGCGACGAGGATTCATACTCGGCCCGCCGCCGCTCTGTCTCTGTCGCACGCCTGGGGCGTCCGTAGGGGTGCGAGAGAGACAGCGATCTCACGACTTCTTGGGAACAGCTGTGCTGCTGGCCGTGGCGGCCCGGCGGCCCCGATAAGCCATTGGCCAGGAGGAAAATCGGCGCTGCGGCGGCCGCGGATTGGCGCGGAGGCTCTGCCCGGGCGCGAAACAAATTATGTATTGCGTGCTCAGCGAATTGGGGCGGTATTGTTGTTGCGATAACGAAGAGCGGGGCCAGCGGAGCAGGCGGCGGTGTCGTAGGTTAGGGCCCTTATCAGCGAGAGCGAGCTGA